TGGCCGAGCCCATTTTCACATATCCTGGAAAGATCGTGTTTTCTGGGTGTAAGATCAAGGAACATTATCTTGACAAAATTGCTTGGCCGGGTGGACAACGCGCGATGGTGTTTGACTCACTAAAAAGTACCTCTTTTAGTAGACAAACATTATCTGTAAGATAGAACGCTATTGACACCAGATAACGCTATATAATGCTAATTGTTTTAATTCGTTGTGTTTATGTCGACTAACGTGTTTAAATTATTGAAACGACAGAAGAAAAAACAACTTATTTTTTTATCTGCTTCCATATTTGATCTGATTTATCTAGCGATTACAAATGACACATGATCCACAAGATAATTGTGCGCATGCGAAATACGTATTCGCATTATGTCGGAAAATGTACGTTAAATCTTCAAATCATCTTCACCATCATCTGGGTTATAGCCATATTGTCGCAGTGCTTATAATTAACGATTGTGTCCCCAACGAACGCTGCATACAACTGCCTCACCCACTGAATTGTCTACTCGTAATTGTGCGTCAACAGACTCATGTACATGTGAATAAGTTTGAGATGTTCAGGTCATTACCATTAGTGAGTGAGGTTAGCTTTACGCCGCACCCATTCATATTCCAGCGGCGGTCTGTAAATAATCGAGTCTGGACCGGACAATCCAGTGATCAACAGATACGGTAGCTCTACACATAAACAAAACAGGTCGTTAAGTACACATTCGTGAACTTTTAAACAAGACAATTATAACTAATTTAAGTGACCATGGTAACGTACTGGGTCGGCGCTGTTGTTATTGAGCACGTGTATTAATGAGTTAGCGAAACATATCAAACGGATACAGCAGTTGCATTAAGTCGCACTGACAATCATAAAACAACTGATGTTTAAGGATGCATTAACACTAAAGAATAACAAACCAATTTATTGAACACCAGGGAGACAGTGCTAAGGGTATGTGACAATGAATGCGACATTTCTGTAGACACTGATGCGATATCAAGCCATTGGTGTGGAGACGTGACAGAGACATATACACGAAGATAGGTGACGCTAGTACAGAGCAGAACAGAACAGAACATTTTATTCTCTAAAACCCCACCCACGGTGGTACATGAGAATATAATGATATACAATTTAACATAAGTATACAATCAAGATGGCGGATAATAGAATAGTTAGAGTATCATTATCACAATTCCTTTACAATTTCAGGGCATTTGACAAGGCATTTAAATATTTAGCTAGGTTTTTCAAATGCTTTGTTTTCTTTATTGAAAATCGCCGTTTAAGTTTGAACAGATTAGGCCATTCGTAGTAATAATTTGGAATATACATTATCCGCTGTTGGAGAAGAGTTTCGCATTTACAAAGGTAATGGAATTCGTCCCCAACAGACGGAATATCGCAAGTTTACAGAGTCTATTTTCTCTAAGAATGTTGTACCAGCGACCTGTTTCTATCGGTAAATTGTGATTTGATAACTTAAATCTAAGAATTGGACTATGTATACATTTAGGAAGGAATCAAGGTAGCATGCATGAGAAATATAACACGGAGGTGGTCGCTAAATCTAGGGCCTCGTCACGACTAACATGTGGGGCGGGTTAGTTGCACAGTGGTTCATGCGTTCGCTCGTCGACGCCGTTACTCAGTTGACCTGGTTATTCAGTGTAGACCCATGTGTTCTTTAGCGGCAGGGCGATCTTTCCTCTGCGAGAGAAAAGCTATAAACTTACGTTAGAATATATACAATTTTAGTAGTAACAGATAAACCCATTTAAGTTGAAAATGAACCCCAGTGAGTTGGGAGATTTAGGAACCTGGGAAAATCTAGACTTGCTTCACTTAGGGCTTTAGTTCTGTAGGGTTAGGCAGTAGGGAAAATAATATGGTCCAGGGACTGTGAGACAGACTAGCGATAAACACGCAAACACTGTTTCAGTGTAGCATTTTTCTCTAGTTCTTGAGTTCTGAGATTATATGCCAAAATCTTTTCAAAGCTCCCAGTTGTTGACGTTCTGCCGTGCTATTGCTGGAATACGTCGCTTGAAACCATACATTTTGACACGCACGCCTGATGACGTCAAAAGGAGGAAATGCATATATGTAAAAGAGAAGGTTAGAAACCACAATCCTAACACGCCTGTGAAAGAAAATAATGCTTTTCTTTTATATTTAACCACGTTAAGATTCGTTGCAATTAAGATCCTTTTAACACCGCGTCCCTTCTCGTGTAGCTTCCTTCCCGTGGTGATCGTAACCAAAAGGAAATATCTGGAGGAATATGATAAAGAGGAAGCTTGACAATGTGCCTGATATATCTTGAGTTTATCTGAATGACAGCACAAACATATGGACAGAGGGACAAGTCAGATAGCGAGTATTTAACGCCCTAGTAGTGAGTGAGTGAGTATGGGTTTACGGCGCGTTTAGCAGTATTCCAGCAATATCACGGCGGGGGACACGAGAAATGGGCTTCACACATTGTACACATGTGGGGAATCGAGCCCGGGTCTTCGTCTTCGCTCTAACCACTAGGCTACCCCTTCGCCCACAACGCCGCAGTAGATTATACCAAGTCGGACGTTAGCGAGTAGACAGAGTATCTGGATCTATTGACTGAGGTCAATATTGGGCCAGTGTTTCGTTGATTGATGTTGGTTGATACGATGACCAAGTGTTCGAGCCTGACCACCCGATCACGTTAGTCGCCTCTTAAGACAAGCATCCATGGGTTACTGAAGATCAATTCCAACCCGGATCTTCACGGGTACAGTAAAACAACACCCCAATTGACCAGAGAACCTGTTTTAAAAGTACACTTATGGAACATGAGAACTTACACTGCCAAGTATATGAAGATATTAAAGTTGAAGTAATTTTCCAGTGGTACAATGGCTGATAATTTCGCTTGGCGCCAGGATGCAGAAAATGTTTATTTTATCAACATGTTATTATGATATTCAATATTTAAGTATTATATGGATCATAATATGAACTGGCAAACAAGGATAAGTTGGACCGGCGCAGAGAACGCCTTTAAGAGAAGTATCGCGGACAACCTGGTGCTAGCAATGGCAAGCGCCAGTGAGCGGCACTTATAGTTGCTAATACGGATCACTTGTCAGGTCGGTGCTAAACTTATGCAGGTCCAGCTTATGTAAAAAGTTTAGATTGCCACAGTTTCTGAGAAAGAAGAAAGTGTCTAGGCTCCTTTTAAATATATGAATATACTTCAGGAACCGTGATGTTTGTAGCATACGTTCAATTCAGATGTTAGACTAGATATTAGACTAAATCACGCCGTGCCGGGCTCTGATCCGCAAAGCTAGTCGCGTCCAAAGTATCTGTTCCTGAAGGCTACGCATGTCTTCTAAACCATATGCGTGTTGACAGAAAGCAATTCAGAAAGGTAAAGCGGTTCGTCATAGTTTTTCAGGCGTTTTGAGGTGATAGGGTAGTCAAGTGAATGAAGCGTTGGTTCGTCTCGCCGAATACTCGGGTTCGATTCCACTAATGGGTATAATGCGTGAACGCCCATTTCTGGTGTTTCCAGGTGTTTCCAGAAATCATATCCCTGTAATGTTGCTAAACGTAGAGTGAGTGAGTGAGGTTAGTTTTACGCCACACTCAGCAATATTCCAGCTATATGGCGTCGGTCTGTAAATAAACGAGTCTGGACTAAACAATCCAGTGATCAACATCATGACCATCGATCTACGCAATTGGGATACGATGGCTTGTGTCAACAAAGTCGGCGAGCCTGACCACCCGATCCCGTTAGTCGCCCCTTGCAGTGAGAATAGGTAACTGAAGATAAGTTCTAACCCATATCTTCAGGCATTATAGAATGGAGATATAATACATTGTATAAGCGAGGGCAACCGATGACATCTAGGCGTAGAGCAAAACCATACTGACAAACTCACATATCTGTTTGTTGCTGAACGCCGCACTTGGAAATATTCCAGCTACAAGGCGAGATGTGAAACAAATTCGAAACCCTGGATTCCATTCCCAGCATGTCAACTGGCATAAAACCATACTCACTCACTCAACCCTCTACCCAACAACTCACTCACCCATACCCACTCACTCACTACCAGTTGAGACAGTAACGACTGTAACACCTTCACTATTCCAAAGATAGTGGAACCCTTAGCTATTGTGAAACATACGATCTATTGTAACCCGGAGACGTGATGGTTCTTGGATGACAGCTTGAATCCTCCTCCTCATGCTACTGGCCCAAGATCACTATGCATGTCGGGTGTGGGAGGCCAATTCTATGACTCGTCGGTCGTTACTGACGGTCGGACATGTCGGATGTCGCTGACCATCAAGTGACCCGTGAAAGTCCGGGCTAGATATATTGATCTTCAGTAACCCATGCTTCAGGTTTGTAGACGTCGTCTCTTCAGGAGGGCGACTAACTGGGGATGCCCTAAGGCGATTTCAGACGGTCAGGCTGTTGCTTGACTTGGTTGACCAGACATGTCATCGGATCTCTTCCCGATTGCGCAAATCGATGCTCATGCTATTGATCACCGGATTGTCTGGTCCATACTGCACGATTATACTAGCTGGAATATTGCGATGGTTGTTGTGCGGCGTATAAACTAAACTCACGGTCGGACACTCGGAGAGACCCTCTATTATCTTACAGTGCACGTGTACTGCAACCTGACGATGCTCATGCTATTTCGTACATATTATGCCATATGGCTGAGAGTGTTTTAATGTTTGAGCAAGTGAGTTTGAGCAAGTGAGGCAGTGTGGTGTTTGTGTGTCTGTCTATGCGTGTGTGAGCTTGAGTGGGGAGGCAGAGAGGCAGGATGTACCCAAGTTGAATGTGTATAGGTAGTACCTGTGTACTGAAGGAACGGGTTAACTCGTCTCCCATCTCTCCACACACATGTACTCTAGTGAATTGGAATATTTATATTGACATATCATCGACCATGTCATTCGGACAACCCAACCTGATGCAACAACCGATTTAATCTATTTGGATCCAGATTGTGACCTCTCCAGCCAAAGGTTGCTGGAAACTCTTTTCTCGCCCCGTGTCGAACGGGTATGTGAGAATCTTATCTTCTCGCGGTGACTGGTGTTACCCCCCTTGGACTTTGGACAGTGACATGGCGCTAAGCAGGACGCTTAGAGAACCGACACCTGATTACCCACGCGTCCAGCTGTCACTGGCTACAACCTGAACGGCAAGTTACAACATCCACAGCAGCAACATCGTCAGTGAACATGGACATGGTGCTCGGCTGCCGCTTCCTGGTGGTCCTAGCGGGGTGGGTCTTAATGACCCAGGCTTCCCCATTAACTTTCTCCCCGAGAGGCGGCTACAGGGCGGCTGTGTATGAACACGCGGTCCACATACCCTGGAGCTGTCTGCTGGTACCTGTGTCGAGGGGAGAGGCTGTCAGACAGATGATGAAGAACATACAAGTCTACAAGATGCAGGCGGCTGCTGCTGCTAGAGAGGTAAGCTGACCCATGTCGAACACAACACAAGTTGTGAAGCGTGATCGAGCTGGTGAGGCTCTACACGGGGGGTGTTGTCTGATGTTTTCAATTTATATCAAGATTCCAAGCACAGTCGCATGAAGAGGTGTAGATTTATAAAGTTGATTCATAGTTTGAGGTCCTTGGTGTCTCTCTTAGTTTGTGAGTGTATATACCAGAGTGGAAAGGTTAAGGTAACATATCTTGAACCACAGTCCACTAACGCATGGCTTGTCTATAACAAAGTGCATTATATTACGCAATTCATGACGGTAGAACTGATAGTGCTATTCACATATTCATACATGTGTTAATAAGCTACAGTCTGGTGTATACTGGAATATATATCCCTCTCGTAAGACGTCTATTATGTATGGTGGCCGAGAAGGGCTTATGTGAAACGAGATATAAACTCGACCAATTGTTGTTTGGCTAGCACTTTGTTCAAGTAGGATTGTACATAATGTCTTTGTTCACGCGTCCCACGTGATGATAATATGATAGACGGAAAATCATAGTAATGCATATACTATACACAAAGAACTTAAGTAAGCACCCCTTGTATTTTTGCAATGATAGGTTTACAAAAAGTACATAAAGCTTCTCATGGTGACCACGATGGAAAAGCATGGGTTTTTCTTACCCATATGACCCTTCGACTTATAAACAACGACTAAAAGATTGGAACCCATGTTGATGTTATGATGATAATTGCTCAATAAAAACAAATCACACTGATTTTAATACAAAACCATGTCTGTACAAGTATGACCGTGGAATGTTTAATGTTGAATTTATTGTTGAATGTGAGCATTCAAAATGTCATTTGTGTGTCTTACACGAATCAAGGTAACTACCGAGGGTAACCTCCATGTGACTGTATGACAGCAAGCACTCTCCTCCTCATACCCTCTGTCAGCCTCCTGATCCCCTGAAGGGGCAGTCTACGCCGTTCCTCGTGTAAAGCAGCTTCTAATTGGGCCAGGTTCTGTACAGGAGGATCCCTGTGTTGCACACGACGACCAATCATGTCCCAGATATGGGTAAAGGGTAAAGATCGGGGCTCGTTCAATTGTGAGATATGTCAGGGGGTGCGTAACTAAGGTCTTTGTGTATATTATCAGGGTTTACTGTGTAATTACGCCAATTAAAAAGTCTCTCAATATGTGTTGTTTATCCAAATACACACATCATTTGTGATAAGACAGTTGTAACAGCTGTGTTTGTCCAGCTTTATACGACCCGTGAAGATCCGGGTTAGAATATTCATCTTCAGTAACCCATGCTTGTCGTAAGAGGCGACAAACGGGATCGGGTGGTCAGGCTCGCTGACTTTGGTGAAACATGTCATCGGTTCCCAATTGCGCAGATCGATGCTCATGCTGTTGATCACTTGATTGTCTGGTCCAGACTCGATTATTAACAGACCGCTGCCATATATCTGGAATATTGCTAAATGCGGCGTAAAACTAAACTCACTCCAACTTTGTACAAGGACATTTTCATGTAGATTTGCACATGGAACATTGCAGGTTGGTCCTCAGTAAAGCAAATGTCGAAATGGATGTTTATGAACAATACTATAATGTTATTTACAGTGTAACACCCGATACTACTCAAATCAATTTAAAGAGCACTCACAGTTAGAGTGCAGTGGTATATATTTGTGTTCCAACCTGATTGACCGCCTCCGTGGTGTAGTGGTTAGAGCGTCCGCCCGGAGAGCGGAAGGTCGCGGGTTCGATCCCCGACCGCGTCATACCAAAAGACGTTAAAATATGGTACTTGTTGGTGTCTGATGTGTCTGAGTGGGTTATTCATGCTTCACTGCGGCATGGAATCTCGGTGGGCTAGCACTATAAAACCAGCTTAAGTCTGGACTAGTACAAGCAGCCACACATACACATACACACGCATGCACGTCGTCATATGAGCGAAATATTCTCAAGCACGACGTTAAACCCAAATTCACCTGACCTCACCCAACCTGATTGATTTAGAGAGTATTGCCACGACCGACCACGCGCTGACGGCGTGAGAGATCGTCCCTTGAAACTAATTGGGACTGTGAACTAAATCAGATCATATCTGTGTAGTTATTATCTAAATAGTGAGAAAATTTCAACCTTCATTGCATACACATGATTTGAAATGGAACTGGAAAATATCAGCTCTGACCCCAGCGCCTCACATCCAGGGAACCAGTCTGACGATTTCCCTGTGTGGTTTGTTCTCATCTTTGTCTACCCGTGATGATCCGGGTTAGAATGGGTCTTCAGTAACCCATGCTTGTAAGAGGCGACTAACGGGATCGGGTGGTCAAGCTCGCTGACCTGAATGGCACTTGTCATTGTATCCCAATTGGGTAGATCGATGCTCATGGTGCCGATCACTGGGTTGTCTGGTCCCGACTCGATTATTTACTGACGGCCTTGATATAGTATAGGGCGACTCGCCTAGTGTTTGTCATCATTTTGCTGACCAACCTGGTACTATCCTCAAATGGTTCTTATTGGGTTAGCACTGAACAGATCAGTAGCAGCACACCAACAGTCAATTAGTTATTGAAAACGTATTGACACTTTCACTTAAACTTTATAGATCCAATTTCCCCTGAAATTTAATGTTATATCTAAAATTGTCCAGATTGCATGTAGACCACTAGAATCGAATTATGACCTTGTGAACCATGTTTTCATACCATCTTCCAAGAGTGAGTGAGTGAGTTTAGTTTTACGCCGCACTCAGCAATATCCCAGCTATATGGCGGCGGTCTGTAAATAATCGAGTCTGGACCAGACAATCCAGTGATCAACAGCATGAGCATCGATCTGCGCAATTGGGAACCGATAACATGTGTCAACCAAGTCAGCGAAACTGACCACCCGATCCCGTTAGTCGCCTCTTACGACAAGATAGTCGCCTTTTATGGCAAGCACATGGGTTGCTGAAGACCTATTCTACCCCGGATCTTCACGGGTCTCTTCCAAGAACATGTCAGAGAGAGACGAACTGTTTGTAAAAGTATTTGACTTGATGGATGTCAAATGCTTTGCCCACTTATGGTCAAAAGATGACGACTCCATCATCTCATTCTTCCTTGGTGGATTCCCAGACTGTATGGAAGAGATGCAGTTTGATACCTGGTGCCAAATAATATTAATTGTGGCTTATTTCGTCAGTAAATGCAATTTCCTGTTTCATTAACTTTCTGATGCATTCATATATTCACTTGTCTGTAAATATCACGTGATGTTTAAATGCTTGTAATCTTCATATCTGGAGGAAACAAAGCCAATCTATCTATCTATCATTCAACGGGCGTTTATTGTTGTCGTGTGTTGAGAGAATAATAAGAACTTATCAAAATCTATATCATATAAATGTATGCAGTACTGAAAATAATAAAATATTATTGTATGTAATAAAAATGGTGACTAACACAAAATCAATTACTAAGTGATATGGGTTTCACGTGCTGTCCGTTTCCATGGCAATGCGGGCTGTTGCCGCGTTGTGACTTAGTGTGCTGTTAAACTGTTTCTGTTTTCCATTTGAGCTGTCTCGGGGCATGTCTGACACACATATAATATGAAGTCATCCTTGATTCCTTCGGCAATAATATATATCAATTCCTTGGTGCTAAATACCAAGGGCACATAACCCAGTCAGCTCCGTGTGTTGAGTGAAGCCACGTTCTCAGGCTCTCACCAACTCAGCAGTTTTTCATTGCATGGCTATATTTGGCGTTTCTGTATCCAAAGGACGATGCCACCACAGGGGCGTGTCACGCTTAGAAACAGCGTTAGAAAGACATATAGGTATATAGACCCTACCCTAGTACTATAGAAAAGGAAAGGGATGTAACGACGGAACCACCCCCTCCGCAATCAAAGTTAGATTTCACCATCTATGGCCGATAAGTGAGTATGATTGCCGATTGTTTTGGTGAAAATGCCTGCTTACTGTCGAGAAAATGATTTGTAGATGTTGCAATAAGTTTTTAGACCCGTGGAATGCCGCTGCCTATCGAATCTAGCCCTACATAGGTGTTGTCAGCGTGGCTGGAATTAATAAACGAATTATAAACGTGAGTTTTCGCTGTCTTGGCTGATCCATGATTTTGGCTTGGAATTGCGAAGGTAGCTGTTCTCGGTGAGTCGTGGCGTATAACTTTTGAAATAATGATCCGATTGTGACCATTTATAGCTCATCTTGTAGGGAAATCATCTAGCTTTCGATCCACGAGCCTCGACAGCGCCTTAGTAATAGCTGACGTGGTGAAATCTAACTTTGATTGAGGAGGGGTGGTTCCGTCGTTACATCCTTTTCCTTTTATATAGTACTAGGGTAGGGTCTATGTACCTATATGTCTTTCTAACGCTGTTTCTAAGCGTGACACGCCCCTATAGAAATTTTGATTGGTTTGTTGTTTAATGCCACACTCAGCAATATGCCAGCTATGTGGCGGTGTAAATACTCGAGTCTGGACCAGACAATCTAGTGACCAACATCATGACCATCGATCTTCGCAATTTGGATACGATGGCTTGTGACGACCAAGTCAACCACCCTGACCGATTCGTTAGTCGCCTCTTACGACAAGCATGGGTTCCTGAAGATCAATTCTCACGGATCTTCACGGGTGTACAGAATGGAGGTATAATGCATTGTATCAGCGAGGATGCATGTTAAACTATTAGTAAAAATTTAAAAAAATAATTTTTGACCACAATAACGGTTTCCTTTAAATATATTGATATTGTTAAAACGTTGGGTTTTTGTCCTTCAGGGTGCTGATATCATAGTATTTCCTGAAGATGGGATATATGGCATGATATTCAGCCGGAATACCATCAAACCATTCCTGGAAGAAATCCCCGACCCCCGCATTACCGAATGGAATCCATGCGTGACTTCCGGTAGCGACATCGACGTCACAATACAACGGGAGCTAAGCTGTATAGCGAGGGATAACGCAATGTATGTTGTAGCAAACATGGGTGACAGGAAACCATGTAACCATAGCAACGACCCTAAGTGCCCAGAAGATGATCAGTATCAGTACAACACCGATGTAACCTTTAACCCGGAAGGAGTTCTCGTCGCCAGGTATCACAAGCGTCATCTGTTCAAGGAAAATCAGTTTGATACGCCGCCATTAGAACTGGCCACTTTTGAGACACCGTTTGGGAAGTTCGGTCTAATCACTTGTTTTGATATCTTGTTCTACGATCCTAGTGTAGAGCTGATCCAGAAGGAAGGGGTGCGAAACATCATCTTCCCGACGGCCTGGATGGACCGACTTCCATATCTGGCAGCGGTGGAGTTTCACTCTGCTTTCGCCAAGGGCCTTGGGGTCAACGTCCTCGGGGCCAATATACACTACCCGGTGTATAAATTCCACGGCAGCGGCATCTACACTCCAAAGGGGTCGGTAACATACTACTACAACGACAGTATCTTCAGCGGGGGTAAATTGTTGGTTGCTGATGTAGATTCTATAGAGACAGATATGCAATATCCGCTTGGGTATTTGCAGAGGAATAGAGAAAAATGGCGTGTTGTTAAAATGAAACAAAATAAGAGAGAGACGTCAGAGGACAGAATTCCATCTCTTGTATCTGAAGAACGTTTAGCTGACACGACTGACACGCTTGTTGACAGGTTTAATGTCTCCAGATTGTCTTCCCTGCCACGTGAGAACTACACGTTTGTGGCCCTGGAACACCATGCTGGGAATCAAAGTGCTTGTAGAGACGAGGTGTGTTGCACGGTGGTGTACAGCAGGGAGAACACCTCTGCCCATGAAGATTTATTTGTTTTGGCAGTATTTAATGGTTTAGATGACGGGCGTTTCACCCAGATCTGTTCCGTGTTGATGTGCCCGGGTAATAATATGTCCAATTGTGGGGAACCAGTGACACGATCAAGCTCTATGTTTAACTTCGTGGAAATTAGTGGGAACTTATCAACACCATATATTTTCCCAGAAGTGCTTGTTTCTAATGGAGACTATATCGGACTTGTGCAAGGAGAATGGACTTTTACAGACAGAGTTCTTCATGGAGGAAATGGATTTTCCAAACCACTTATCACTGCATCTTTGTTCGGTCGCCTATACTCTAGAGACAACTCCACTCTGACGTAGATCCTTGTAATGAGCGAATGATTTTACGCCGCTTCATGCAATATCAGCAACATCACAGCAAGTGAGTGAGTGAGTTTAGTTTTACGCCGCTTTGAGCAGTATTTCAGCAATATGGGCTACAGAAATGATGGGCTTCACACATTGCCCCCATGTGGGGAATAGAACCTGGGTCTTCGTCTTGACGAGCGACGCTTAACCACTTGGCTTTTCCACTACCACCACCACGGCAAGGGAAATATAGGTTTTCAAACCTTAGGTGACGATCGAACGCTTCCACCACAGGGCCATTCCACCAACCTCACCGCAGGTCGTTCAGCGTTACCTTCAGAATCCCCATAATTCATTTAGCCGCAGTGCAGGGAAATGAAAGAAGATAAACTTTTACCGGATTTTTAAGGTAGTCAACAAAACAAGATATCTGTTTACACTCGACGGTCGTGGTTGTCTGGACAGTTTTATGTGATATCTTCAATAAACTTCCAATCTGACACATACACATATGTAATTGTACATTAAATATACTGCAGCAAGACTTACGTCTTATAGAAGCTTTCACAAGATGAAGATTAAAACCAAGTTCCCTAACCAAACATTTGTTTGATTTCGTCTTTAAATAAAACAATATGTCCAAACAAACAAGAAAAGACACAACAAACCTAAACCTTATGTTAGAGGTAGCCCACTGGATTGTAAAACAAACCATAATCACATGAAAACTACAACGACAAGGTACAAATGCACAACATAATCAAACTTTGTGAACAGTTCTGTCTCGTTTGTCGACGCTGTACACAGGGGCGATGGGGTAGTCTAGTGGTTAAAGCGTTGGCTCGTCACGCCGAAGACCCGGGTTCGAATCCCCACATGGGTACAACGAGTGAAGCCCATTTCTGGTGTCCCCCGCCGTGATATTGCTGGAATATTGCTAAAAGCGGCGTAAAACCAAACTCAGTCAGTCAGTCAGTCAAGAACTCGTGTCGCTGGTAGGCTGTATGTGAAAGGCTAGTAGCACAAGCGAAGTTCCCACCAGGAGGAAGATGTATAACATTCAGTGTATAGGTAAACTGTATTGTCTGATCAGGTTTTAAGTTGTCTTTCAGTCGCTTATGTGAATACTCTCGTGCAATAGTTTCAAATAAGGGACCGTTGATAATTTATGGTTGTCTCTGTGATGATTTTAAGGGGAGGGGTTCCCCATTTTGTTCTGGGAGATGGGGGGAAGGGGAGTGAATATAAATTTTGTACACAGGTACTGGAGGGTCAGTAATTTTGTACGTAATTTTATTAAAATTGTATGCTTAAAAATATGGGAAGGGTGGGGTGTGGGACGTGGGGTATGGTGGTACATAAATTATAGGTGTGGGGGGTACACTCACAGTGTACAAGCTTCTCCACAAATCACCATCAAACCCCAGCTATAAAGTATGAACGGTCACTAATATCCAGATTTTTTGTCAGGCTGTACTTCGTATACTTATCACGTACTCTGTGTAATGCCAAGATATACTTTGTATAACGCCTATCATGTACTCTGTGTAATGCCAGGATATACTTTGTATAACGCCTATCATGTACTCTGTGTAATGCCAAGATATACTTTGTATAACGCCTATCATGTACTCTGTGTAATGCCAAGATATACTTTGTATAACGCATATCATGTACTCTGTGTAATGCCAAGATATACTTTGTATAACGCCTATCATGTACTCTGTGTAATGCCAAGATATACTTTGTATAACGCCTATCATGTACTCTGTGTAATACAAATGCCAAGATATACTTTGTATAACGCCTATCATGTACTCTGTGTAATGCCAAGATATACTTTGTATAACGCCTATCATGTACTCTGTGTAATGCCAAGATATACTTTGTATAACGCCTATCATGTACTCTGTGTAATGCCAAGATATACTTTGTATAACGCATATCATGTACTCTGTGTAATACAAATGCCAAGATATACTTTGTATAACGCCTATCATGTACTCTGTGTAATGCCAAGATATACTTTGTATAACGCCTATCATGTACTCTGTGTAATACAAATGCCAAGATATACTTTGTATAACGCCTATCATGTACTCTTCCTAACAGTAACATCGCCCCACTGTGATGCCGGGATGTTTATTCCAGGATGTATATTCTAGGTACTGGAAGGGTATGGACCTGGTATATCCCGGCATCTCAGTTTAATGAGGTCACTATTAGGAAGATCCCTGGAAGGCTATGGGCCAGGTATAATCCAGACTCCCTGTGTGGTCACTGTTAGGAAGACCCTGGGAAGCTATGGACCAGGTATAATCCAGGTATAATCCAGAATCCCTGTGTGGTCACTGTTAGGAAGACCCTGGGAAGCTATGGGTCAGGTATAATCCAGGTATAATCCAGAATCCCTGTGTGGTCACTGTTAGGAAGACCCTGGGAAGCTATGGGTCAGGTATAATCCAGGTATAATCCAGAATCCCTGTGTGGTCACTGTTAGGAAGACCCTGGGAAGCTATGGGTCAGGTATAATCCAGGTATAATCCAGAATCCCTGTGTGGTCACTGTTAGGAAGACCCTGGGAAGCTATGGACCAGGTATAATCCAGGTATAATCCAGAATCCCTGTGTGGTCACTGTTAGGAAGATCCTGGGAAGCGGGATACCCTGGTACATCCTGGAATCTCAGTTGAGAGAGGTCTCTATCAGAAAGACCCATCTATGTGAAGATTAAGATCTGCTTCATGAACTTCATCAACGTGGTAAACGCCTTGGACCTGCATGACAAATACGACCTGGTACGACCGGGATATTGCTAATTGCACCGCTAAACCGACCTCACTCACTCACCAGATTCTGTAACAACACGGTCACCCCGTGTCCCGCTAGGGCTCGAGACCCGTGAAGGTCCGGCATGGTATCTCAGTGGGCTAGCACTATAAAACCAGCTTCAGTCTGGGCTAGTACAAGCAGCCGCACATACACATACACACGCATGCACGTCGTCATTTGAGCGAAATATTCTCAAGCACGACCTTAAACCCAATTTCACCTCACCTCACCTCACCTGTTCGGACATGATGATAATCAACTGAGAAAGGTGCACCCCTTCACAATAATAGACCCAACCAGTTGTGACACGGTCACGCAATTCATTAGTATTCACTCGATCAGGTCAAGCTGAACAAGCTGTAACTGTGTAGATCGATGCTTATTCTGTTGATCACTGGATTGTCTGGTCCAGACTGGATTATTTACCGACCGGTGCCGTATAGCTGGAATATTGCTGAGTGCGACGTAAGACAACAACCAGCCAACCAACACATTCTCCTTGCCAAGATAGTGCCAGAACAGATAGTTCCATTAAGGAGGAGTACGTGATTGACGTCATACAAAGTATATCTTGGCAGGTCCATAGCCTTCCAGGGTCTTCCTAAGAATCGCCACATTGAGATTCTCGGTCATACAAGGATCTGAGCAACCTTTGCTGTTCGTAAAGATGTTTAGACTTGGTACTTAAGTTCGTTACGTGTCATCGTATCCCGAGTGAGTGAGTGAGTGAGCGAGTGAGAGGGATTTTACGCCGCTTTTAGAAATATTCCCCCAATATTAAGGCGGGGGACACCAGAAATGGGCTTCACACATTGTACCCATGTGGGGTATCCAACCCGGGTCTTCGGCGTGACGAGCAAACGCTTTAACCATTGGGCTACCCCACCGGGCAGATCGATGTCCATTATATCAATTACTAAATGTTTTGGGGGACTCGACTATTTAGAGGTCGCCGTCACACATAAACAACAAACAAACAGCACCCAAAGCAAAACTTCCAAACATTTGATCACGTTGTACCCTACATCCATGCCAGTATGAGGTCAGCTGGTGCAGCTCGTCATGGTCTGCTTCCAATGTCTGTCTCCCTCTCTAACACGATAACGTCATTCAGCTTGTCTTTGTGAACTAGGATGTGTCGGGAGACGGTATGTACCAAGCGGATCTCAAAGCATGTTTGGGGAACAATAACCAGTGGAAAGAAGTCACAGTCCTCATTCAACCAGCTTAGGCTTATCATTGCGAGTTGTGTTCATAGTCTGTTGTTAAAACACACACCATGGACTTCAGTCATACCCCTCATCGTTACGACATCGCGGTGACGCTCGTCACAGCAGCAGTGCTGTTTTTGTCGTTTACATTTCTCAGATGGGTTTCGAAAATTGTGTCACGTTTCAGGTTTTACAATTCACTCCCGGGGGGAGACCGACTTCTCCATCATCACGGGCAACCTGCACTTGGTGAGTAAATGCAAGAGTTTTAGTGAGTGAGTTTAGTTTTACGCCGCACTCAGCAATATTCCAGCTACATGTATATGGCGGGATACCGCAGGGTATCTCTATCCATACATATAACTCGAGACGAAAGTGTTAATACAGTGTAACTGACGCTTAGTTAGTGCAAGTGTAGTGTAATATGATCACTAGGTTTGTCAATAGTACCTTCCATGTTGTGAACTGTGCATGTCTGTGGAGCATTGCTGCGGGTTAAACAGGTGCTCGCCAAGTGTAAATTCTATACACGCCCCACAAACTGAAACTATTTCACAGACGTCTAGCTCTATAACCTCTGTGAAATGTGTCAGTAATTTGTAGATAGACAGTGCTTGTGTATAAACGTTAGAACTGATTGTCATTAAACAATACGAGGGGCGTTCAATATATTTTGCAACTTCAATATAAAACCAAAACGCAGAAAATATTTTGCACCTTTTTTCAATATAATCTCCTTTCACCTCAAAACACTTATTTCATTTGTCCTTCTGTGCCATCCTTTATCTCCTCGTCAACCTGAAAGGGTCCTTCACGTAGGGCAGATTGCATTTGCCGAAACAGAACATAGGGTCACTATGGGCTAGATCTGGGCTGTAAGGTGGGTGGTTTAACTTTTCGAATCCACATTCATTCACGTATGGCGGCCTGTGCAATTCTCGACTTGTGAACCGGAGCGTTGTCGCGCAAAAGTAGAACATCACATGTTAAAATTTCTGGCGAATAGATTTTCGCAATTCTTTAATTGAATTAGCATAACACTGTCCATTGATTGGCTTTTTGGTGGCATATAATCAATCAGTAACATGCCTCTTGCATCCCTAAATATGCTGGCCATTACCATGCCAGCCGATGGTTGAGTGCGAGGAGGCGGATCAGGGGGATGCTTCCATTGCATGGATTCCAGTTTAGTTTCTGTGTCCTAGTTGTGGATCCACGTTTCAGTACCTGCCACTAGACGGGAAGGAAATCAGCTTCATCAGCAGTACATAGATCCAGGAGCTCTCGACAACCTTTAAGTTCTCTGATGGGTTTAATTTCTGGGGTTTCTAGGTACCCTTCTTGCACATAACTTAGACAGACCAAGATGCTCATGAACAATGGTTTCAACTGTTCCAACTGATATTTGGAATTCTTCAGTTCAACGTGTATATACTTTCATTCGTCGGTCAGACAATATTTCTATAGTGGCTATGGTTTCCGGTTGGGTAGCATCTGAAGTCCTGCCTGACCTTGGGTCATCGTCTATCTACTCCCACCCCCATTTAAACTGTAAAGACCAACGGCAGACAGTGGAAAAGTGAGGAGCATCACTTTACACATGCGGGCATGGATTTATTTTGCTTAGTAAGGAACTTCAGTGCAGCGCGTTGTTCATGTTTGAGAGAATCCATGATTGTGACCACCCCCAGGTGAATGAAACCATCACATCTAACCTGTTGCTGTGTCTGGAGCTTGTCATGACACGTGACTACCTGATATTACTTCTAGTGTCCCACCTGCCTTAAGTTGACATTGTTTGTGTGAACACAAATGCTCAAGTTATAAAACCTAATGAACACCCCTCGTACTGAAAAAATCCCAACTACACTGCAGTCACGAGTAATACAAGCCCACCTTAAACAACATCTACCCTCACTTTATGTCAAGCAGAAACATAAAGTCACTTAATCATTTTCCTTATTAATTGTTTTCCGTTAAGGGAAGCGGCATGGAAATGCTGAAATCATGATAATGTTCCTTATTTGTGTTTCGCAGTGAAGCTGTGTGTAGTCAGTGCGTGAGTGAGTTTGGTTTTACGCCGCTTTTAGCAATATCACGGTGGCCACACCAGAAATGGGCTTATTACACACTGTGGCCATGTATGGAATCGAACCCGGGTCTTCAGCGTGACAAGCGGACGCCTTAACCACTAAGCTACCCACCGCCCCAGTGTGTAGTTAGTGTATGTGTATATGGGTCTGCATGTACGTGGTTGAACTGACATGAAAGAACATACCCTCCACCACTGGACTACTCACTACAGTTGAACATTGATATCAGATCGCTTCGTGTATGTGTGTAGTTCCCTGAGGACGAGGAGCGTCGCCTGGAGTATGAGCTGACCCTCACCCACAGGTTCCCCAAGATGTACAGAGTGTGGTTTGGACCCCTGGTCCCCTCGATTCAGCTCTGCCACCCCGAGACTGTCAAGGTAGTGCTCAAAACAGCAGGTAAGGCCACAACTAACTGAACACTGTAATCAAACGCACATATTCATAATAAGAATAGACTGGACTCACGAGAGCTTTTCTGCGTCCTCTTCATAATGTTTTACATTGTTACATAAATATTCTTCCACAACTGCGACAGTAAGGTCTATGACAGTACATATTTAGATATCAAACTGGCTGCATCGTTTGCTCTCTATCAGCTTCGATGACAGCACGTGGAGCCGTACGACCTATGTAAACAAAGGATCACTACGCAAATCGAAATAGTGTTACATGTTTTTTGAAATTAAAGATGTTTAGTTAGATGTGTAGACTCGTCAAAAATAAAAGAGTAAAAGAAATCTGTACATTATATTGAATGGACATTGCAAGATTTGACGAATCGTCACGTTTTTCTGGCCTGTGGCAGAGGTACTATGCTGGCTTGCCGCATGGAACTCTGGGTAGGAGAGTGGGGCTATAATGGACTAGGCATCCCAGGACCCGGGGCACTGTGACACGCACTCAGTGACTTGACCACCCGATCTATACAGTACTACAAACATAGGGTACTGGGGATCTACCTTACACCAGGGAGACTTCAGATGTTGTAGATTATCCCTGATTACACGTCGTCCCCTTGGTGTCTTCAGTTACAGTGAGTGACTTTTGTGTTACGCCGCATTCAGCAATTTACAGCTATATGGCGGCGGTCTGTAAATAATCGAGTCTGGACCAGACAATCCAGTGATCGACAGCATAAGCATCTATCAATCAAGTCAGCGAGCCTGACCATCCTATCCCGTTTGTCGCCACTGACCACAAGCATTGGTTACTGACTGAGTGAGTATGGTTTTACGCTTCTTTTAGCAATATTCCAGCAATATCACGGCGGGGGACACCGGAAATGGGCTTCACACATTGTACCCATGTGGGGATTCGAACCCAGTCCTTCGGCGTGACGAGCGAACGCTTTAACCACTAGGCTACCCCACCGCCCATCATGGGTTACTGAAGATCAATTCTAACCCGGATCTTCATGGGTCTAGCCATTTAGAATTTGGTTCGCGCACTGTCTTTTTGACGTTATGCCTGCACGGATAATATTCAACCTATTACCGTGACCTCGCTCTCGCCCGAGCGTGTGTCTAGGATTAAGTTGCACATGTCTCTCCCTCCGCCCCCTCCCCCATCCACACCCCCATGCCGATATATTACATCAAGTTGGACATAACTATGGTTCACTTATTCCCTTTCTGACGTCTGAAATGATGCCTATGCGACCTTGAATTGTAACTCACTCACTCACTACTTGAATGATAACCTATGCCACGATGAAATGTAATTCACTCACTCACTATTTCACGTCTGAAATGATGCCTATGTGACGTGGAATGTTAACGGAATTACAAACTCGCTATTTGACGGTTAATCACAGAAGTACGCCCTATACTTGAAGTATATCCGGAATCAATAACACGTAAAACAGCAATATCGATCCACCCTGACATGAAGTGATATTCCGTTACAGCTCCCAAGCCGTACGGTCTGGGGTCCGTGTTCGAATTCTTCAGGCCCTGGTTGGGGGACGGGATCCTCATTTCCAAAGGGGCGAAATGGCAACGCTCGCGTCGTCTCCTCACACATGCTTTCCACTTCAACATCCTGAGACCTTACGTGGACATCTACAACGATGCCGTTAATACTCTACTGGTTGGTCATTGAAATCATGCAAGGAAATAAGAGATATGTATTGTTTTCTGAATGCGATGGTTACAGAAATATGCAGGGTGGGATGCTGACGTACTGTATGTATGTTGAAAACGTGACGGAAAAGCTTGACGTATTGATGGATTGATGACGGGGTGACTTGACGTATTGCTGATACGAAGAGGGAAGATCAGACAAACTGAAGGATGCGTTATGGGAGAGACTAAAGTACGACTGGATATGTAATGGAGAGACAGGTGGAATCATGCAAGAATAGCTTGACGTACTGATGGACGCATTAGGCAGACATAGCCGTGCTGATGGACGCATTAGACAAAGATTCGGTGCCGTACTGATGGAATCTTATAAGGATAGCGTGAGGTACCGATATACACATTAGACAGATACTGTCGTACCGATGGAAACTTATAAGGATAGCGTGACGTACTGATGATTGCATTAGACAGAGACTGCCGTACTGATGGAATCTTAAAAGGATAGCGTGACGTACTGATGAACGCATTGGACAGAGACTGCCGTACTGAATGAATTTTATAAGGATAGCGTGACGTACTGATGAACGCATTGGACAGAGACTGCCGTACTGAATGAATTTTATAAGGATAGCGTGACGTACTGATGGACGATAGCAGAGACTGACGTACGTGACGTAATGATGAACGCATTGGACAGAGACTGCCGTACTGAATGAATTTTATAAGGATAGCGTGACGTACTGATGAACGCATTGGACAGAGACTGCCGTACTGAATGAATTTTATAAGGATAGCGTGACGTACAGATGGACGCATTAGACAAAGACTGCCGTACTGATGGGTTCTAGATGCTTTGTCAAAATGACATATACTGACGGATGCGGGATAACATAGTATGCCGTGATGATGGATGTTTCAATTATGGGAGAGACCGATGCAGAGGTTGGTGCATGGGGTATAGATTGACGTACTGATGCATTCACGATGATATAGCGTGACGTTTGAATCATTATGACGGGAGAGATTGACGTACAGATGGTTGCATGGGGTAAAGGTTGACGTACTAATGCATTCACGATGATATAGCATGACGTATTGATGGATGCATAGAGATAAGGGATTCCTGAGTCTGATTCCAGATCAGTGAATTGCGTGATGCATTTGCTTATAAACACCTTTAACCACAGAGAATATTATTGTCCGTCTATTTCCAGTCTAAAATCGATAGCTACGCGGAAAGGGGAGAAAGCTTTGATTTGTTCAAAGTTATAAAACCGTGTACATTGGAGATCCTTCTGCGGTGTTGCATGACGTGTGAAGATGACATTCAGAATGCCAGGTACTCAGTTGTTTGTCTATAATTGATGTAAATATTTTGTAAATTCGTTAAATGAAACATATATTTTGAAAGTTCACTGTAGTATGCTTGTCCAAACCAGAGGAACTGAAAAGCTGTCATCGCTGAAATTGGTCGAATCACAAATTTCGATCCTCGCTGCCATGTTTCATGCCATCAATGACATAACTCTTGTTTTGTAACAATTAGATTCATTTCATCTCAGAACCGACCACCCATATCTGAAGACAGTGGAAGAGCTGACAGAACTGGTGGTCAACAGACTCAGGTAGATACTCTCTCCTATTGTCACATCTCACACAGGTGTGTATTGTCTGTGGTAGACTCAGGTAGATACTCTCTCCTATGGTCACATCTCATACAAGTGTGTATTGTCTGTGGTCAGTAGACTTAGGTAGATACTCTCTCCTATTGTCACATCTCACACAGTTATGTATTGTGTTTGGTCAGTAGACTCAGGTAGATACTGTCTCCTATTGTCACATCTCACACAGGTGTCTATTGTCTGTGGTCATTAGACTCAGGTAGATACTGTCTCCTATTGTCACATCACACACAGTTGTGTATTGTCTGTGGTAGACCCAGGTAGATACTGTCTCCTATTGTCACATCTCACACAGTTATGTATTGTCTGTGGTCAGTAGACCCAGGTAGATACTGTCTCCTATTGTCACATCTCACACAGTTATGTATTGTCTGTGGTAGACTCAGGTAGACACTCTCTCCTATTGTCACATCACACACAGTTATGTATTTTCTGTGGTAGACCCAGGTAGATACTGTCTCCTATTGTCACATCTCACACAGTTATGTACTGTCTGTGGTCAGTAGACTCAGGTAGATACTCTCTCCTATTGTCACATCCCACACAGTTATGTATTTTCTGTGGTCAGTAGACCGAGATAGACACTGTCTCCTATTGTCACTTCTCACACAGTTATGTATTGTCTGTGGTCAGTAGACTCAGGTAGATACTGTCTCCTATGGTCACATCTCACACACAGTTATATATTGTTTGTGGTCAGTAGATCGAGATAGACACTGTCTGCTATTGTCACATCTCACACAGGTGTGTATTGTCTGTGGTCAGTAGACTCAGGTAGATACTGTCTCCTATTGTCACATCTCACACAGGTGTGTATTGTCTGTCGTAGACTCAGGTAGATTGTATATCTCCCATTGTCACATCTCCTATTGTCACATCTGCAAATCTAGACCGTCCGTCAGAAATCTGTCCCGTCTCGGCGGTCGGACGGGCCTTATTTCATACACTAATACTATCTCCACAGTTAATCTAACACAGGTACGTCTTGATTATAGTAAGCAAACTCAGGTAGACACCATCCCTCGCTGTTACATCTAACGCGTCAGACAAACATTATCTCTGTTATTCAGGACGCCCTTACACCACATACAGTGGTTGTATGATCGGTCTGAGAACGGGAAGAGGTTCAAACAGCTGACCGACTACGTCCACAACGTCTCTGCTGCCGTCATCGCCGCCAGACAAAAGACACTGGTAGGTTCTGGTCATACCCGTCTCCACGTTTATCAGCAGCACAGGCGGGTCCAGGACTGTTCAAGGGGTGTGTGGGTTTAGTGGGGTAGCGGAGTAGGGGGGTCGCGTTCCAACCTCCTGACCCGCCCCTTGACTCCACCAGTGCAAAACATTAACTCCAATGTTGTCTTTAGACATTTTCAGAAGGAGAAGGGGTGGGGTGGGTCCGAACACCCCACCCCCACCCACTCCACCCCCATCCACATCTCTGTAGTCCGAAGCATATACATGTCAGTTCTAATACATAATCATACACATTGAAGAAATAGATACTTTTCTCCCCTAACGATTGAATAAGTCATTGTGAGAAAGTGTGCGTGCGTATGTACGCGTGGGATTAAGCCATGTTTGATTGTACAGTGAATTTGACCCTAACTTGAAATGTTTAAAGAAGCAGCCTGAAAGACAATAGAAGTTTGGTTTCCCACCAGTTCTAAAGCCTGGCAGGAGATCGTGGTGTTCACTGTGTTTCCCACCAGTTCTAAAGCCTGGCAGGAGATCGTGGTGTTCACTGTGTTTCCCACCAGTTCTAAAGGCCTGGCAGGAGATCGTGGTGTTCACTGTGTTTCCCACCAGTTCTAAAGCCTGGCAGGAGATCGTGGTGTTCACTGTGTTTCCCACCAGTTCTAAAGCCTGGCAGGAGATCGTGGTGTTCACTGTGTTTCCCACCAGTTCTAAAGCCTGGCAGGAGATCGTGGTGTTCACTGTGTTTCCCACCAGTTCTAAAGCCTGGCAGGAGATCGTGGTGTTCACTGTGTTTCCCACCAGTTCTAAAGCCTGGCGGGAGATCGTGGTGTTCACTGTGTTTCCCACCAGTTCTAAAGCCTGGCAGGAGATCGTGGTGTTCACTGTGTTTCCCACCAGTTCTAAAGCCTGGCAGGAGATTGTGGTGTTCACTGTGTTTCCCACCAGTTCTAAAGCTTGGCAGGAGATCGTGGTGTTCACTGTGTTTCCCACCAGTTCTAAAGCCTGGCAGGAGATCGTGGTGTTCACTGTGTTTCCCACCAGTTCTGGCAGGAGATCGTGTTGTTCACTGTGTTTCCCACCAGTTCTGGCAGGAGATCGTGGTATTCACTGTGTTTCCCACCAGTTCTGGCAGGAGATCGTGGTGTTCACTGTGTTTCCCACCAGTTCTGGCAGGAGATCGTGGTGTTCACTGTGTTTCCCACCAGTTCTAAAGCCTGGCAGGAGATCGTGGTGTTCACTGTGTTTCCCACCAGTTCTGGCAGGAGATCGTGGTGTTCACTGTGTTTCCCACCAGTTCTGGCAGGAGATTGTGGTGTTCACTGTGTTTCCCACCAGTTCTAAAGCCTGGCAGGAGATCGTGGTGTTCACTGGGTTTCCCACCAGTTCTAAAGCCTGGCAGGAGATCGTGGTGTTCACTGTGTTTCCCACCAGTTCTGGCAGGAGATTGTGGTGTTCACTGTGTTTCCCACCAGTTCTAAAGCCTGGCAGGAGATCGTGGTGTTCACTGTGTTTCCCACCAGTTCTAAAGCCTGGCAGGAGATTATGGTGTTCACTGTGTTTCCCACCAGTTCTGAAGCCTGACAGGAGATCGTGGTGTTCACTGTGTTTCCCACCAGTTCTGGCAGGAGATCGTGGTGTTCACTGTGTTTCCCACCAGTTCTGGCAGGAGATCGTGGTATTCACTGTGTTTCCCACCAGTTCTGGCAGGAGATCGTGGTATTCACTGTGTTTCCCACCAGTTCTGGCAGGAGATCGTGGTGTTCACTGTGTTTACAAACCAGTTCTGGCAGGAGATCTTGGTGTTCACTGTGTTTACAAACCAGTTCTGGCAGGAGATTATGGTTTTCACTGTGTTTCCCACCAGTTCTAAAGCCTGGCAGGAGATCGTGGTGTTCACTGTGTTTCCCACCAGTTCTGGCAGGAGATTGTGGTGTTCACTGTTTTTCCCACCAGTTCTAAAGCCTGGCAGGAGATCGTGGTGTTCACTGTGCCCTCACCCTGTATCTGCAGTCAGACGAAGGGACGCCGGGGACGCCAGAGACCCCGGGGACGTCGGGGATGCCAGGGACACGGTACTTGGATTTTCTGGATATCCTGCTTAGAGCCCGTGACGAGGACGGTGTGGGGATGACCACAGATGAGATCCAGAACGAGGTTGACACCATCCTGTTTGAAGGTCAGTTCTCCTGTATCCTATATGGCATTGGACTGGTTTCAAAGATTGAGAGATTGACAATTTCCTTTTGCAGATGTGTATTCCAATGGGGATTTCTCCGGAATCTGATAGCAATGTAACCATTCTTCATATTGGATTCGCATCGCGATCAATCTTTAGCATTTTGTAAATGCTAGAATGTACTTTTTTTCTTTTGCAATGCTCCTGCCCATTTACGTTTGGCTGTATAGCTATTCTGTAGGTTCGACATGGGACATGGTTTGACATAGGGTAGTTTTTGTTTGGCTGTATAGCTATTCTGTAGGTTTGACATGGGGGGTAGTTTTGTTTGGCTGTATAGCTATTCTGTAGGTTTGACATGGGGTAGTTTTGTTTGGCTGTATAGCTATTCTGTAGGTTTGACATGGGGTAGATTTTGTTTGGCTGTATAGCTATTCTGTAGGTTTGACATGGGGTAGTTTTGTTTGGCTGTATAGCTATTCTGTAGGTTTGACATGGGGTAGTTTTGTTTGGCTGTATAGCTATTCTGTAGGTTTGACATGGGGTAGTTTTGTTTGGCTGTATAGCTATTCTGTAGGTTTGACATGGGGTAGATTTCAATCAAATTTAGCCTTGAAGTTACAACAACACCTTCATAATGCTTCGCTGATCAACTCGATACGTCTCTTTTGAAAAACTTAAGTCCTTTGCCAATCTTTAACTTACCGATAGGAAAGGGGCCTGATTACGTCCGTTGTGCAGGTGAGCGGCGGGGGTAGCCTTGTGCTAGTTCGCTCGTCACGCCGAAGACCCGGGTTCGATCCCTTACATGGTGTGAAGCCCATTTCTGGTGTCCCCCGCCGTGATATTGCTGGAATATTGCCAAAAAGCAGCGTAAAACTAAACTCACTCACTCGTTGTACAGGTCATGATACAACAGCTAGTGCCATCTCATGGACGTTGTACTCCATGGCACAGCATGTCGACTACAGACGGAGGGTTCAGACAGAACTAGACGGGGTCCTGAACGACGCGGACACCATCACCTGGTACGTCTACAATGTAGAGCAGGTTTCCGGGGTTATACACGGTCAATAGTGGTCGAAGCGTTCGCTCAATTCCCGACACTGATGCAATGTAGAATGCCCATTTCTGCTGTCCCCTAGCGCCATGTAGCTGGAGCAACTGTAAAGTAGGCCTGAAACCGTACTCACTCACTCAGTCTACTGTCACATCTACAGCGTGATGTGCTTCATCCGAGAATATCATGTACATTTCTCAACACGCGATCATGTCTACACTGCAGGAGGTGAAGTGAGGTGAAATTGGGTTTAACGTCGTGCTTGAGAATATGTCGCTCGTATGACGATGTGCATGCGTGTGTATGTATGTGCGGCTGCTTGTACTAGCCCAGACTGAAGCTGGTTTTACAGTGCTAGCCCACTGAGATACCATGCCGCAGTGAAGCATGAATACCCCACTCAGACACATTATACTGACTCCGAGCCGACCAGTCCATGTTGTACCCATTAATGCCGAGCGCCAGGCAGGGAGCAACAAGTACCATATTTAACGTCTTTTGGTATGACGCGGTCGGGGATCGAACCTACGACTTTCCGCTCTCCGGGCGGACGCTCTAACCACGGAGGCGGTCCTATACCTGCAGGATGTCTCCTGGAGTGTTATGGCCAAATCTGTGTTATCGTACCCAGACGGTGTTTGGCGTCCACACTATCAACCACTAGTTCACCGGTTCTATATACCCTGTAATTTAGTTATAGCATCGCTCATTGCGGGGTTACATTTTCCACTGAACTCGAATCTGTTCGGAGGTCTCCGGAGTGACAAACGTCGTGATAACCTCATTTTAAGCATTTCATCCACATCCAGGGACGACCTTCCGACGTTGGAATACCTGACCCTGTGTATAAAGGAATCCCTTCGATTCCACTCCCCCGTCCCCTTCATCGCTAGGCAGACGGAAGACGACGTCAACATCGGCGGCGTGATGATACCGACAGGGAGCATAGTCTCAGTGTCTATCTACAACCTCCACCGCCACCCGGACCTCTGGGAGGAGCCAGACGTGTACCGGCCAGACAGATTTCTCCCAGAGAATATGGCAAACATGGACTCTTTTTCGTTTGTGCCATTTTCAGCCGGCCCGAGGTAGGCAGTATTGCTATTCCAGCTTGTATTTACATGGGAGTTATACTACAAACAAAGAGTATGGGAACACCCTAAAATATGATAGTCATATGTACCCTTGGTGAGGTCATTTTCACTCGAAGGTACATATAACTTTTTGTGTGCTAAAGAGGCACTTTAAACGACATGTTGGAACATGCATTGAAGCAACTGATTCAATATTCGTTGAGTCTGAGTGAAATGAAATATTGTTAAAAACAGCTAAAAGCAAGGGTGTTTGATTCAAACGCCCGAACACAACAGCCTAGTGCATGTAGAAGACAGACTTTCCATGCAGCTTGTGGCAACGTTTGAATCAAACATGGTGCTTATGTGTTTCAGCACCCTTGCTTTTCGCTGTTTTTGACAATATTGTGTTTGTAGTATATATTTGAAACTTTAAAAAATGTCTGTAAGGGTCAAAATAATACCGATGAATCAAAATCTAACTTCAAATCGGTTAATGATTAAGTTCATTTCAACGCAGAATGTAATGAAAACATCAGACCAACTCTTGATAAATGTTTCCTAGCATTGCAGGGAGGGCTAGACAGTAGAGAAAATAATGTGGTTCTGGGAAGATGAGACAGACTAGTGGACGTATAGGTCACAGTGTTTCCAATAAACCATCTACTTTAGCAATCTCCTCAGTTTTAAGTGATCTTTATACAAAATAAGTACCCTTTAACAAACGACTAACATGTTCACCCTCAACACAGAAGATAAAGTGGCCATTGCTCAAAGTTGTTAGTTTGTATTCAATTACTCATATATATTGCCTCACATCACACCAAATGAATAATTTCACGGAAACAAAAGTATTGCAAGCGATCACTTATGTAATGTACCACTGTCAGTTACGTTGTGTTGAGCACAATCGACATGAGACGTTTTGTATAGGAATAGGTCCACGTTAATGTAGGTTATATATGGATACTCACGCGTTAAACGTTTTGGCATAAAACACCCATATTTTAATAGGCATGCACGTTTATTGTTGTCCGAGCTTATGGAACAGGACCCCTGTGGTGTTGATATTAAGGCTTATTAACGATTTGTGTTTGCAGAAACTGCATCGGACAAAATTTTGCAATGAACGAACTGAAGGTGGTGATTGGAAAGATACTTAAAAGGTGCGTGATGTTTTCACATAGTCATACTACTTGCATTGGAACTTAAGACCCCATGATCCTTGTGCCTGTTGTAAGAGCCGACTGGTGGTGATGTGGTCACTGCGAATGATCTGTCTGTCGGAATGTCTTCATCGCTTGTTTGATATCAGCATACCTGATCCAGGTTCAGTTTGATGTATATAGAAAGTGCATTGATATAGTCCAAAAATGGCTGAATTCAGAGTAAGGATAAACTCGCACTCTGTGATAATACGACTTTAGCAGAAACGAAGATCACTCGATGGGATCTTTGACCTAGACAAACTGAAACCACATTTGGGAGTAAAGAATATTCACACAGCTGTAAAACGTTGATCACATTAAATCGTCAAATGTTTAGCAGCCAGTCACATCATCGCATAACTACATGTAAAATAAAGATCGATAACATAGTATAGTTATTCCATATAGAATTACATAGGAATGTTGTCAATTCCTTGTAGTATTGTCAGGTAGGCTTGGCGACATGTGTTCTGGAAGTATCATGTGGAAACGTTGGTATCCGCCATAGCTCATTTTGAAATGAATTTGGTGCCTTCAAACAAACCAGATGATTATATCTTCAATTTACATTTCTACTGGAGCCCTTAGTTCAATGAATGACGGTTCTGGAAACATTTTAAGTCTTCCATTGACATCCATGTCATTAGGGTTGTTTAAAGCAGCTGCAACACTATAACACTAAGGTATATCTGACACAAAGGTGAGGTGAGGTGAAATTGGGTTTTACGTCGTACTTGAGAATGTTTCGCTCATATGACGACGTGCATGCGTGTGTATATGTATGTGCGGCGGCTTGTACTAGCCCAGACTGAAGCTGGTTTTATAGTGCTAGCTCACTGAGATACCATGCCACAGTGAAGCATGAATACCCCACTCAGACACATTATACTGACTCCGAGCCGACCAGTCCTTGTTGTACCCATTAATGCCGAGCGCCAGGCAGGGACCAACAAGTACCATATTTTAACGTCTTTTGGTATGACGCGGTCGCTCTAACCACTACACCACGGAGGCGGTCCCTGACACAAAGCTTACCTGTGGTGCTTGTTACATACTGAATAAAGCTGAGTAATTAACTCTGTTTCTATAACATTATAAAAGCCTTCTGAATTAATTTATTCCAGATTTGACCTTGTGCCAGACCACAGCCACGCCGCGCGCCACAGTGCAACCGCTGTTATGCGAGCGGTAGAAGGATTGTGGGTATTTGCCAGTCGCAGGGAGCCTTCACTGAACACATAGGACCCAAACATACAACACAGCAAACGTCATGGTGACAGACAGACCAACTTATGTTTTAGGTTAAAAATGATTACCATTGGTCAATTACATTATCACCAAATGTCTAAATTTAGCTATACCAGACTGAGTACTGACTTAACTTTCAACAATTAAACATATTTTATGATATATTCCTTTCATATAAGAACCCTTTCAACACCTTTCACTCCTGACCTTTAAACCACCTTGCCAGCAGGTGAGCAAATTTCACACTCGCCTTATCCACTTAATGTCGACATCCAATCAAAATGTTTTTTATATTCAGCTAATGGAAGCCAGGAACAGGACAATATTTCAGACCACATTTAAATTTGTCTAATGTTCTTAATAACTACGTTTGACCCATGGCCCTGGCTTTGCTATATACAAATCATGGACTTGTGAAATTATAAACCCTTTTACAGACAATTGTATTGATGGTTTAGGTGTTATGAATCAGTCACAACAAGCAACTAAGACAAGACATATCAATACAGTATTTTTTAGATCTATGTACAACTCGTGTCATTACTCTGTACTGTTACATAGATTGGTGTCATATATTTGCCTTAATGGCATGATTACATTAACAGCGTGTGGGAACTGTTTTAATGAAATTCCCTCCAATGTTATGAAGAGTGACATTACAGATATTGCCTTTGGCTGGACGATACACACACGTCATGGTGGTTGAACGTCTACGTCAAATATCACCATGACTACACGTCTTAATGAGGCGCTGGGTGTATCGCCATGTTTATTCATTAAACTACATGTTCAGGTATGTCAGACAACAGAATACCTTCAAGCAGTCACATCATTGGGGCTGGGATCAACAACGTTCTACATGTATAGTTGGTGCTCGCCTATCGTCATCTAATGTTCTTAATACAAGAACTCAATAAAGAAGTGGACATTTATGATAGATGCTGTCTCCATGGAGAGACAATTTTACACGGTGATTTCAATGTAGGTTTTCGTTATGGAGCTATGGTAAAACGCGGGGCGAAATATCTGAACTGGTACTAGAATCTATACTTTACGGAAAAGTGTAATCCCGAATATAACATTTGTTACATTTGACCCATTTCTAAATGACATTGCGGATTTATAATAACAATGACTTCATGTTGTATCGCTATGAAACAGAACATTGTTTTAGATGTTGTCAAACAGATGAAGCTGAGTACTCATCTCCTCAAGAAGAACATTTTTAGTCTGAAAATTATTATCACTTTATCCAACAATCGTTACAAGCTGCAGCTGAACGAAACATACAATCTTAAACATTCTAATCTCATTTAAAACCGTACTGGAAAAGGATAATTTAAGTTGCATAGGTCCATGTGATAGTCTACTAAGGAATGAATCTGTAGTGACAAATAACACGATAAAGATGATGCAGATTACATAGCGTATAAAATACCAAAGCGAATGTTAAGACGCAACATCGTTATTCCAAACAAAAGCTGAAAGATCAAAGGTTTTTCAAAGAAATATGTGAAGAAGCTGACTGCATATAACAGTGTTTAAGAGTAACCAAAAGGTTAAAATAAAGAAGAAACAGATCACATAAAATGAAGAGTAGTTACATGTATGTGTTAAAACTAGGGGTGGGTATTGCAGTGAAAGCATATATTGCGATTTGTTATATTGCAAACATTTTTTAAAAACAAAAAACTGAACTTAATCGAGTTAATACTTAATTTATAAATCAAACACACAACAAAATCACTATATCTGATTAAGTTTAATAAAAACTTTTAATCATGTCAAAATAAATAATATTTGGCACAAATGAAACAAGGAAAGAACAATTTAACATCACCACAGTGGTTAATAGTTTGAACAAGTTTCTCCACTCTCAAAAAAAAACCCTGAAATTTTAGACAGCAATTTGACCTGGTCAGGACATATCAGAGATCACTGGGCATTAATGAGTAAACATTTAAAACATTCAGATCCAAAACATTGCGAAACACTTGAACAAAAATTAAGAACACAACTTCAAACTGAACTTAACTTGACTTCCGGTGCGAAAAACGTAAATATCCGAAGATTTCCTAGTGTTACGAAGTTTTCTGAATGCATGTCGAAATACCGGTTTTCGAACAGTGTATCGCAATACGTATCGATTTCATGTCTGAACCGGTTATATTGCGCAGTCTTAGTTAAAAGCAAAATGAGGTTTGTAATCTAATTTGAAAGATACCTCCAAGATTTGTTGATGCCAGCCACGATGTCAGTTTTGACTCAGATTTACTGATAATGTAGCTGTTCATGTGGAACAGATTGGAAATGATTTATGCGATAAGAGTGAAGACACGTTAGCTCCTTGCTTCTACGACAGTCACGTCTGAGGAGTGACAACTATATACTGAAAGGAAGTTGCCTGGTCCCCGTGGTGCAGTTAATGACCATGTCAAGTACTCTGGTAGATCTATTATTATTATGTGATGGAATTGTCTCTCTTGCGTCTGTATCGAAATGTTTAATGTTGGAAAGTTTTACCTTCTTTGAGTGGCATACAGGTTGGTGTGATGAACAACGGAGACAGTTCTGTGGATATACAACTTCCTGTTTGATATCAGTGTTAATAGCTACACCCAAACGTCGCTCGTACTGATAGTAAACACGTTGTATTTCTATGTTGTAAGGGGTGTTGAGCAGAAAAAAGACAGCCATTTTGTGACGTCATTACACAAGTGTGTGACCTTTTTTGTGACCTAATCAATTTTGACAGTGAGTTTTGAAACCTTAAGCCCCACCCCGCTCTTTTCGATGAGTCCCCTTCCGGCCTAGGTGTGTGACCTTTAGGTTGACCTTAGTGGTCTGTGATAGTAATGTCCTCTATTTTGGTTTATGACGTTATCACACATGGTGTGATACCCGAGTTCATTCTAGATGTGGGAAAATGTGGGCCCATGACTACATCCCCTGACTCAATTTTAGTGGACCATTCTGAAGTTGGGTCCATGTTTTTAATCCTGGATTATTATTCAATTATTTTATGAATAAGAGTGACATGAGTTTGATTTGCTGTCTCGAGTGTTGGGTTCACACTACAGACGTCATATAATAAATTTGATGCATAGATACGTTGTTTTTAAAGGACACCCCCATTTTAATCATTCAAAAAACATTGTGTCCAGATATTCAAGCTGGCACTCTTTACAATATATTGAGTGCTGACACTTGTGTGACCATTCGGTATTTAGTTTGAACCCTTGGCATCATGTATGAATAAGTGAAAACATTAGAATAAGTTATGTCCTTATGATTATGTCATCTCAAAAGGGTCGGGTAGTGTCTCCAAAACAAGCTCTTTCAGGAAACATCATGGCGGGAGTCACTTTAACAAGCGATTGTAGTTTCAAATTGCATTTTTATGCACTTTAATATCTACGTTTGATTCTAGAGGACTTCTGCCTGTATCAAACACACAAAATGTTTATTGCATATTTTGTTTCCTGACGAGCGTGATGCATTTATTTCACATTCTGGGTTTTGGGGGGTTATCAAGAAAAAGAGTCAAACAAAATGGGGATCGTGAGGCTGGAACATGGCAAAAGCAATTTGATTGAGGTTGACAGATAATATGTAGAAAAATAAAACATAAAAACAGGTGCATTTGTTTAATTCTCTAGGTGAGGCCGACTACTTTTGGGACGCCCCTCGTAGAACTCTCCCCGTTTTTCAAAGTCTTACCTGTGAGTAAAGGCCATGGTAAAAAGATGACCATCTAATTACAGAGGTATGCTAATTACACATGTATGCTAATTACACGGTATCCTCCCAAAACTTCCACATCCCAAAATCCACAGCTTATAACAACAACATTTCTGGTTGACTGCACACACTTTAGCATACTGATTACTTCAATCTGTAATGGTTTAACCCATAATCAGTAGTGAATACAAACAGTCACAAAGTAATAAATTCTATATTTTATTAAGGCAGGGTTATTAACAAAAATACATATATTTTCTAGTAACTTAACAGTCTATGTAGAACATTTATATAGAACTTATGTCCTATAGTGTCGGAGATTTCACATTTGACAGTCATAACCCTGTCACTCTGTACTGCTCTGAAGAGTCTGGCGTAGAAGAACACGGCTGTGATAGGGCCGTTACGGTGATGACATTATATACCGCCACAGTGTCACTAACGTAACATGCAGTCTTTTGTCTATTACATATTCTTTAAACATTCTAAAATATCTGACTGACAAATTTCATTAAATCATCGTTTAAAGTAAACATATAAAACTGGCTACTATTAAAAATGTCACTACCGTTAATGTGTCACTACCATAACAATTAATGCCAATGTCCATACCATAACATTATCAATTTCCTGATTTAATTAAAATTGATTTTTGTGTTTATGCCTGGATTTGGTAGTGCGAGTATGTTTGGTAGTAGAGCTTCAAGTAAGCATAATACAATTCACATTCTCATTTTAAATGTTTTGCTACAGATTACTTTATATTTGCAAATCAGAATTGAAAGGAATTGTTTGGCTTGTTGGCCCCTTTTAAGCAATAAATATATAATTTCAAAACTCATTAGCCATGTTATTTTGTAAAACTACATATTTTAATATACATGTACATTAGATATATACGTTAAGCTCGCAGAATTTATGTTTTGTATATTCAGAATACTATGAACGTAATCAACAACATTTTGATATACATGTACATTAGATATATACGTTAAGCTCGCGGTATTTATGTTTTGTATATTCAGAATACTATGAACGTAATCAACAACATTTTGATATACATGTACATTAGATATATACGTTAAGCTCGCAGTATTTATGTTTTGTATATTCAGAATACTATGAACGTAATCAACAACATTTTAATATACATGTACATTAGATATATACGTTAAGCTTGCGGTATTTATATTTTGTATATTCAGAATACTATGAACGTAATCAACAACATTTTGATATACATGTACATTAGATATATACGTTAAGCTCGCGGTATTTATATTTTGTATATTCAGAATACTATGAACGTAATCAACAACATTTTGATATACATGTACATTAGATATATACGTTAAGCTCGCGGTATTTATATTTTGTATATTCAGAATACTATGAACGTAATCAACAACATTTTGATATACATGTACATTAGATATATACGTTAAGCTCGCGGTATTTATATTTTGTATATTCAGAATACTATGAACGTAATCAACAACATTTTGATATACATGTACATTAGATATATACGTTAAGCTCGCGGTATTTATGTTTTGTATATTCAGAATACTATGAACGTAATCAACAACATTTTGATATACATTACATTAGATATATACGTTAAGCTCACGCGTTAAGCTGGTATTTATGTTTTGTATATTCAGAATACTATGAACGTAATCAACAACATTTTGATATACATGTACATTAGATATATACGTTAAGCTCGCGGTATTTATGTTTTGTATATTCAGAATACTATGAACGTAATCAACAACATTTCAAGGTAAAACATCCAAACAAAACTTAACATTTTTTGCCTACATGAAATATGCACGAATTTATATTATATATATTTCAGATTTATTAACTAACTGCTCTCTTCTCCATTAAATATCTACTCTAAGTCAGGTGATGTATCATTATCTGTTGTTTCAGTTCAGTGCACTTCCTGGGCTATCCTATTACCTAAAAAGGGTGATGAGGATACAAGACAAATCTTATGGATAAGGATAAAGAGTTGTTGTTTTAACAATGTTTGGTAGAATTGGGATGTGGAAGTTTTGGGATGTGGAAGTTTTGGGATATAACCAATTACACAGGTATGCTAATTACACAGGTATGCTTATTACAGAGGTATGACCCTCACGCCTGCACAAAACACACTGTTGGAAGGACTACTGTTGAACGCAGCTGGAGAATGGACAATCACATCTAAAGGCTTCCCTGCCCATTTTAGTTCGGACTTTGGGGAGGTGCACTATTCTTATTACTTGAAAGCATAGCTTATTACAAAAAAGCACTCTCCAGTTTATTGCAGTTTCTCGACAATGAGAAAGCTTTCGACACAGTTTGGTTTAATGATTCTTTTCAAATTGTATACTTTTGTATTGAAGGAAAATTATGGTGACTGCTACGCCATGTGTAAGCACACTATATGTGTAAGTACTCAGCTTAAAGATGATAACTTCAAACGCCCCCCTTACACCACATGTTATTACTTGTAATTAAGAATGGACTTAATAATATCTATTTTACCTCTTCCCTATTTCCCCACAGACATGCCAAGGCGGGTCGCGTTAAAAAGAAAGTTGTGTATTTGATCGTGACGTAATTATCTCAGAACTTCATTCAAGGGGAAACCTACTCTCTTTTACGATCACCAATGGTCATAAGCTGTGGATACTTACAATAGAGAAACCGGATCACCTCTATCTCTCAGCTTTTTATTATGTCGAAGCAACTACAGTGTACACTATGAGCAGTGTTTATGTGAAACATTTGTATATGACATAATCAAGCATGCATTTATGTATTGTAAAAAGGCTCAAGAATAAAGAGATCACCTTGTTGAGTTTGTCATTTATTTATTACATGTAACAACATTCTCCATCCTCTGGAACGATCACGATCTCTTTCTGTCTATTGTGCTTGGCAGCCTGCCAAGAGAAGGTGCTATACACATTAAGCACACTATATGGATTAATACAAGGTTTCTTTTTATGTAAAACAGTGAAAATGTGGAAAATCGTCTTGACTAGTGTTCTATGACGACATGGTTGCTGGGCTCTAGCATACACCAGATCGCCTGTTATTCTAATAACGGATGGAGTTATTTCCTGTATGTCTAACTAAGCGTTAGAACAGAGTTGTTGTTTGGAAAGATCTGTGAAGATCCGGGTTAGAATGATCTTCAGTAACCCATGCTTGTCGTAAGAGGCGACTAACGGGATCGGGTGGTCAGGCTTGCTGACTTGGTTGACACATCGTAACCCAACTGTGTTGATCGATGCTCATGCTGTTGATCACTGGACTGTCTGGTCCAGACACGATTATGTACAGACTGTCACGGTTCACTCCCATTAGTTAGACGTCCCATTAGTTAGACATCCCAATTGTCAGACACTGGACAAGGGATTAATTAGGGCAACACTCATTTATAAACGGAATGTCCCAATTGGATATTCCAACCAGTCAGTTGAACCTAAGGAAAACTGTTATTGTGTATAAATATCTTGGGAATATTTTTGATAGAAAATATTCTCTCAAATTGTTTTCATCAAATCTGTGTCAGTAAGCTACTAAAGCCATGTATTTTGTTTTACGCAGAAGTCGAATGTTAAATTATCAATACATTGTCGACTATATCTCTTTGATGCAATGGTGAAACCACTTTTGCTCTACGGTCGTGAACTTTTGGGATATGTTAATTTAAAACAAATTAAAAATGTACATATATGTTCATGAAAAAAATTAATACCTTTAAAGAAAGGTACTTCACTGTATATGGTTTATGGTGAATTAGGTAGTCCCACTTTCTGTTGATGTGAAAACTCGTATGTTTACTTTTTAGTCTAGAAACAAATTCATCTTAGTTGTCTTCAATCTTTTATTCTATTTCTATTCTTATTCTATGTAATCTTCATACTCAGAAGCTCAGAGGTGGAAACTTCCATTCTCCTTTGAAATCTCCAGTTATCCCCTTTCTCCCTTTTGGTACTTCAACCCATCATTTAGTTGGAGAAGGAAGATGGAATACCGTACCAATAAATGAAAGAAAATGTAAATGATGTTGTATGAATGATGTGGATAATGAGTTCCATTATATTCTTAAATGCAAATATTTTAGAAAAGAATAATAATAAATAGTAAATAAAAATATACATTTGTATAGCGCTTGTTTCCAGTATAATCAACTGCTGAAAAGCGCGTGTGAGTAATGGACTGTCCTGGGATACACAGTCCAACATTGGCAGACTTTAAACAAATGTGTTTTCAGTAGTGATTTGAATGATTCAAACTCAGGGGCACTTCTTATTTCAAGTGGGAGGGAGTTCCATATTTGGGAGGCTGAGATTTTGAAACTTCTCTCGCCAAATGATGTAGGAGCTGACGGAAGCTTAAAAAAACACTGTTTACAGGAACGTAGAGTTCTCTCGGGTTTGTACTCTTGGATGAGTTTAGGGATGTACGGAGCAGCATCGCGGTGGATAGCTCGGAATGTCAGAGTCAGCACTTTAAACTTGATTCTTCCCTCAGCTTTGAGCCAGAGAAAGATCAATGTATATACCAGCTTCCTTTATAATCAGATCAAATATGTTAAAATTTAAATCACTCTTTACATGTAAAAAGATATCTGTTATGAAAAATCATTTCAGTAAATTTGGTAAATATATCATGCAAATTGTAAAATCTTCCGTCCAACTACTAGTCCGCCACAATATTAAATGTCATTTGTACCTCAAATGCCGATGATATCGACCTGAGAGTAATAAAGTTCTGTTCTGTTATCCATGTTATGGGTTAGTTAGTCATGTTAAACTGCTTTAAGGTTTATTCGGAATTTGACCCCTGCCCCAACGCACATATAGGACTTAGACATAGCATGTGGTCATCTCGGGGATATCATAGCATACGTATATATAGACACGTGATATCAGGAGTCAAAGTCATCCTTAAAGTTGTGGTCTGGAGAACGGTTCCTTGAAATGATTTCAATCACATGTCAGTGAAACCAGGTGTTTTTATCGTTGGGGCGAACCACAGTGTTAAACAGTGATGTGTACAAATCACCTACGTATATTGTCAAGTTAACAGTGAAGGTCATGATAATGTCATGTTCGTTAGGCAAGTTTATGACAAGTACTGAAGACTTCGTGATATCAGAAGTAGGTAGCTATGCTAAGGTCAGTGAAAATCATTTTTCCAACATACCCTCTCGAACATCAAATTTGGTATATTTGTTGGATTACCCTTTAAAAAGTTCTTGAAAAAATTGTCAGTGATGTTGAAGGTCATATTCACTCTCAAGGTCATGCACTAAAATGCAGCCTGGTGAATGTAATGCTTAGGACAGGAAATAAAAGTGGTCACGTATTGAGCTAACTCACTGAAGGTAAAGGTGACTGGAATCGCCATTCGTAAGCTGGTTCTGTTTCTTTGTGAGTTGAGTATACTCCCTTTGTTCTTGTTTCATGTTTGTAAAGCGTTTGTGCAAGGGAATACACAGCCTTGTCTGTAAGGTAAATATGTGTTACTGAAGACCAATTCCAACCAGGATATTCACGGATTCAAATCTTTCTAATCCTATGGCTGTTTTGAACAGCACTGATCAGCAGACTGATCAACGTCTGTGTGGTACATATTCTCGAAACAAACATGATGTTTGTGAACCTTTTATTCACGGGTTTTCGATACCTGCCAGAATAATGGATGTACAATAATTTTGTTGGGCTCTTTGCACCTCGGTGAAAAATGTGTTTAACGTTTTACCATGGTTTGACTAAGACAGTTCAGCACCATTCAACAGTCGAGTCGACCGGTATTGAAACACGAACAGTTGAACTACATTCCTGGGAAGGGCATATATGGCATAACTTGAAGAGATGCTTTAAAATCAATAAAATATATTGAACAAAGCTGACTCCCGTTCTGGGACATAATCAATTCGGTAGCTATATGCTATGGTCTCCAACCAGGAGTCACCAGGATGTCATGTATGTTTCCTCTGAATGGATGTCACAACAACACATCATTATAAAGAAACTAAGTTGCCTGAACAGTTCTCAGAAGCGTGACGCTGACAAGTAATCAAAGTAGTGTCACGTCAATCACAAGATCTAGCCAATTACTGCTGAACACGCAATAGATGAAACATTAGTTAGGTAACTATTCTAATTTTGTCCAAGGCTTTGGTTATGTATACGAAAGCAGCTGACCAATCACAGCATTCAATTACTTCGACGCTTGATTCACAGTACCACAGAACACTGCTGTTAGAAGACTCACTTTCAGTCGACATACACGCTGGATATGGACATGTCAGACCGATACTGGACTCTGTGGACAGTTGTCTTGTACATCTGTATGGCCAACGTGCCGAGAGGAGCTGAGGCAACATGCACCAATACATATGAGTTCCGAGTTTCCACTGGTTTCTATAAGGACATGAAGATAGACAGTACCATAAGACAACGAGGCAACAAGTCAAGTTTAGTGGATTGTTTGTTTTTCTGCAGCCGGGTGATTGTCAACAACTTCTTCTATAACAAAAACACCAACGACTGCATCTGCGCCCTGGCTTACCCTGGGAGTGCGCTCCTGGTCTCCGGGCCGGGGTACAATCATTACGGTGCAGCAGGTGAGTATTCTAGATAATTACACTCTTCGGTTCCGTTTAACTCTCAGCCATGGTCTAGCTTCATGACCCCGGCCTGTAAATATACGTCTCACTCAGATAATCCAGGGACCGATATTGCAAACAGCTATCCACGCCTTCGAGAAACGATGACGTCATCGATCACGTCACCGAGCCTGACCACTGCATCCATTTGCTTTTATTGATTGGTAGGGACCAGTAAATTCTAACCCCCAAATTTCAAAGGGGCCATATTTAAGAAAATCCCACACAATTATCTGCATGTGCCATTAAGGCGTTCAGTATTCATCGCCATATTTTCAGTCGGTTTCTTTATCTGGTATTTTCGTTCAATGGAACATAAAATGTAGGTTTGTCCATTTTACCCACATGGGGAATCGAAGATGGATCTTTTCATGCACCCGCCATTCACGCAATTTGCCGAAAATGTATTAATAAGTATTTACAGATCGACGTCGCACACTTCGCGTCCTGTAAACAAACTACACGATCACGTGCCCGATAAACAGGGGAATACAGATTTACATTACATTTTCTGTGTATGGAGTGCTGAGATTTCTCTCCTTACAAGTAAAGAAAAACGCCAGGTTTAAAGTCTGGGACCGAACAGTTCTTTCCTAGTTGACTCAGCAAAGATCACTGATGATATGTACATTAACAAATGATTGACGCAGGTCAGATGATAAGTACATTAACACATGATAGACGCAGGTCAGATGATATGTACATTAACACATGATAGACGCAGGTCAGATGATATGTACATTAACAAATGATTGACGCAGGTCAGATGATAAGTACATTAACACATGATAGACGCAGGTCAGATGATATGTACATTAACACATGATAGACGCAGGTCAGATGATATGTACATTAACACATGATAGACGCAGGTCAGATGATATGTACATTAACACATGATAGACGCAGGTCAGATGATATGTACATTAACACACGATAGACGCAGGTCAGATGATATGTACATTAACACACGATAGACGCAGGTCAGATGATATGTACATTAACGATAGACGATATGACGCACATTAACACACGATGATAGGTCAGATGATATGTACATTAACACACGATAGACGCAGGTCAGATGATATGTATATTAACACACGATAGACGCAGGTCAGAAGATTTGCACATTAACACATGATAGACGCAGGTCAGATGATATGTACATTAACACACGATAGACGCAGGTCAGATGATATGTACATTAACACACGATAGACGCAGGTCAGATGATATGTACATTAACACACGATAGACGCAGGTCAGATGATATGTACATTAACACATGATAGACGCAGGTCAGATGGTATGTATATTAACACATGATAGACGCAGGTCAGATGGTATGTACATTAACACACGATAGACGCAGGTCAGATGATATGCACATTAACACATGATAGACGCATATTAAGCTGGGCTTGATGTAGAGACTTGCAATCATGTGCACACACTGTGTTCCAGATTAAATAGGGCGGCGGGTAGCCCAGTGGTTAAAGCGATCGCTCGTCACACCGAAGACCCATGTTCGATTCCCTACATGGGTATATTGTGTTTAGCCATTTCTGGTGTCCCCGCCATAATATTGCTGGAATATTGCTAAAAGGATGTAAACCCAACTCACTCACTCACTCCAGATTAAACACCCTTGTCACATACAAAGCCGCCAAAGACAGTTTCACTGGTTACGTGCTTGTTTATTACTTCTTTCTTTATAAAAATCCCCTTTGAAAAGTTAATCCCGGTTGAAATTAAGGCATATTTATTGCATGAACTCACTGTATGCAATATAATTAAGTCGGGTTCATAGAAGTGTATGGATAATAAATATTGATATATTGATGGGTTGTAAACAGGTTTTCTTCATTTGTTCTTTAGGTCTTATTGGAGGCTATCTGATGCAGGCGATGAATGCTTCATCAGCGGGATATGGGTAGGTTTTTGTAGTCCTTATGTCCTGGCCATTACGATTACAACAGGATATCAAATAATATTCTTAGGAAAAACTAACATCAGTACTGGACCTAGATTTTCGACGCTCTCTTAGCGCTAAGATAGTCGTAAGCTAATGTTAATGTATGGCACTTACGACTATCTTTGCGCTAGGACAGCTTCGAAAATCTAGGCCCTGGAGGATAAGACTCGAAGATGGTTTTAAATTTCCTGTGTTCAACTGTGGTATGATATCCTGAAAAGTCGACGGCACTTCACATTATGTGCCTACTGGATGCTAACTGACTTACCAGAGTTTTATGCTTCAAATTTAGAGGCTTGAACTAAGGACAGCCACTGACTCGTAAATATCGTTTTGCAATCACACATGCACCACCACACGCAAACATACTAACTCACGCATTGCACACGCACACACGCGCATGAATGCACGCTCGCACGTGCACAGCCCACTTTCAAATCTGGATTATACGCCAGATTTAGCCAGTGATATTTACAAGTTCCAGATTTAAAGGCGCTATCTGACGAAATTATGTTGTCCCCTGCCATATCTGTCCCCTGCGAGAGAATGACACACCTTGGTGAAGTGAAAAATAAAGTTACCGCCGATGACGTGACGCCGAGTTAAAGGGCAATAGCGTTGAAACAGGCTGTGGCCAACTGATTTGGGGCTGATACTACGCTGGGCCCGGTGTATTTGGGCTGATGCAACGTTGGGTCCAGTGATTTTGGACTGATGCTACTTTGGGCCCAGTGATCTGGGACTGATGCTAGGCTGGACCCAGTCATTTTGGACTGGTGCTACGTTGGGCCCAATGATTTGGGACTGATGCTACTTTGGGCCTAGTAATCTGGGACTGATGCTACTTTGGGCCTAGTAATCTGGGACTGATTCTAGGCTATACCCAGTGATTGTGGACTGATGCTACTTTGGACCCAGTGGTCTGGGACTGATGCTACTTTGGGCCAAGGGATCTGATGCTACTAGAACCCAGTGATTTGGGACTGATTTTACGTTTGGCTCAGTGATATGGTACTGATGCACTCCAGTTATGCTGGATGCGAGGTATTTTCCAATAACGTAGGTCTGTGCAACGACATGGATTTACTTCAGCAGAAATCCTGAGTTGTTCATTGACACAGGGAAAATACATTATCAGGAATGAAAATGCTCACATGATTAAACCTGGCAAACAACACCCAGAAATGCGAAATGCAAATACACTTTAACCGCACTATCCAGGTGAGGTATCTATTTTTAACACTGATATAAGAGTGGTGTACTTATTTATTTTGACATTTCATGTATCCATGGTTAACGTAGGTTGATATTCAATGTTTTTGTTCTCGTCTTTTAAGGTTTGTTAGTGGAGGCGTATTTACTGGCTGGAGTCCACAGCCGGATGATGAAGCTCCGTGGCTTGAGGTAAATAAACTTACGTACAAATCAAAGTACACACCTGACGATTTGGTAAAATATTTTCTTAAAACAGCGTTAAAATTAGAAAAGTGTTTTGATTGTGGCTTACAAGTGACAAACATTGTGTGCAATAACACCAGATATAGTATCCAATTACAATGTTGCTAGCAAATTATTTGTTTATTTGGGAATAGTCCCAAAACACCAGGTGTGTGCTTTCATTTGTACGTCAGTATATTATTTTTCGAATCAATGAGTTAAACGTAATGCTTACAGAGAATATCTGGACTAAACATCCTGCACTAATAACCAAACTTTCTGTCACCAGGGCAATACAGCCTTTGGCAGCATTTGTGTTGTACATTCAACCAGTGTGGAAAGACCATGTGGTGGTATAGACTATATACACGTGTTGCAAATTGTTAAATTCCGTGACATTATTTATCAATACACTTTAACATTAGGCGCTCTTTGTTAATGTATTTGGGCGTTATGTATATTTAGTATTGTGGTTTGAAGTTTTCGTTGACTTCCTGTGCAACAAGTACTGAAAGGCGCTCATATACGAGCAAGAATTGGCCTTCAGCAGCCTTTGTCGTAACAGATCGGGATTGGGTTTTCTGGTTTCCTGACTTGGTTGATGCATGTCATTGTATCAAAATTGCGTACATCGATGCTCATGATGTCAATCACTGTCATGTCAATTATTTGTAGATCGCCGCAGATCTGGAATATTGCTTACAGCAGCATCACCATCAAACCAAGATTACACAACATGTCTCAACAAAATTATTTGATCTGCAATGATGACAAAATAGAATTAAGTTGGAACTGTTTACTGTTTACAATGGCTGACTCTTCAACAGGTTGGGCTTGGGAAGTTCCTGTACTTTAGTGAGGTTCGAATCTCTTCCACCCAAACCGCTGCCATGACGGACGTCTGGTTCCGGGACTCCGGCGGAAACTGGATACACACGTGGACGAAAAACGACAAGGAATCCGTTGACGGCAGCTTTTTGTTCCCACATTGTCGGGTGGGTTATGTATTGTAAATCTTGCTGAAACGCTTTCCAGTTATTAAAGGGGTGGTCGGGTAACCCAGTGGTTTAAGCATTCGCTCCTCAAGCTGATGATCAATGTATAAAGCCCATTTGTTATATCTCCCGCCGTGATATTTCTGGGCGATTGCTAAAACTACTTCAAGCCTGTTTAGGGGCAGTGGGGTAGCCTAGTGATTAAAGCGTTGGCTCGTCACGCCGAAGACCCGGATTCGAATCCCCACATGGGTACAATGTGTGAAGACCATTTCTGGTGTCCCCCGCCGTGATGTTGCTGGAATATTGCTAAAAGCGGCGTAAAACCAAACTCAGTCAGTCAGTCAAGCCTGTTTGAATATATCATGCGTTGAAAGGCTTTATGCCTCAATAACTGTCTATATATTGGATAGTCTGGGAGACTAACATGGTCACGAGTTAATAAAGTATAATATTTAGCCTTTCTGCCTCAGTTCGACTACGTGAAATAAGAACCGCTAAATGAACCGATTAATAATTGTGTTTTTTTATGAAGGTATATATATACTACTCAAACTTTGATAAGGATCACAAAAAATCACAACTTTACTTAAACGTAGATGTATAATATGAAATTGTATTCATTTAAAACAGGATAAAAAATAATATGATAACCCCTCTTTAGGCAGACAGCCACTTTCTTCTAACCTTATGCACTTGATACATGAGTAACCATAAAAATGGTTTTCATGGCACCAATCAACCATTTTACAAATCATGGAACGATTCATTGACAAATAAAACAACACCTGTCTATAGCAGGTATGGGATCCACAAGATGCAGTGACATACTGAAACCTAAGAACCATGCTTACAATAAGCTTAGATATTTAAACCAAATTTCACCCCACATCATAGTTTTCTGTTGAATCCATGATTTGATCCTTAGGAAAGTGTGAATAGTATATAAAATTCGGAGCGATCACTATAAAAGTCTTTAAAGTTGGTTAACCGATCAGGTGTCGTGGAATCACTTGTAATCACCGTATGTATTTATCAACAGCTGTAAGCTATTGTGTGGGGATGATTACGTCACAGTACATCGACTGTAATATAGCCATGTGTAATGTGTATTCCCTCATTGTTGTGCTGGGAATGATAGCTCACAGTACATCGACTGTACTGTAGCCATTTGTATTCCCTTGGGATTGTGGTGGGGATGATTACGTCACAGTACATCGACTGTAATATAGCCATGTGTATACCCTCGGGATTGTGCTGGGGATGATTACGTCACAGTACATCGACTGTAATATAGCCATGTGTATTCCCTCGGGATTGTGGTGGGGATGATTACGTCACAGTACATCGACTGTACTGTAGCCATGTGTATTCCCTTGGGATTGTGGTGGGATGATTACGTCACAGTACATCGACTGTATTGTGGTGGGGATGATTACGTCACAGTACATCGACTGTGTATTCCCTCGGGATTGTGGTGGGATGATTGGGATGATTACGTCACAGTACATCGACTGTACTCGGGATTGTGGTGGGGATAGCCATCGACTGTAATATAGCCATGTGTATTCCCTGGGATTGTGGTGGGATGATTGTGGTGGGATGATTACGTCACAGTACATCGACTGTAATATAGCCATGTGTATTCCCTACATCGACTGTAATATAGCCATGTGTATTCCCTCGGGATTGTGGTGGGGATGATTACGGCACAGTACATCGGCCGTAATCTAGCCATGTGTTGATTACATAGTTTGATATCCCCGTCAACCTTGATTAGTGTAGTTCCTAGTAATAATACGTCAGTTTTGTTATACATCAGCCTTTGTTTCAGATGCTGACCGTTCGCACGGATGCAGTCAGAATAGCAACGAAGAAAGGCTTAACTGTCCAAATTTACAATATACACGTGTACGGTCGGATGTAAAACATAACATTACACGCCGTGATTTGGATTATTGTTAACTAATCAACTCACTAACTCGAATCGCTATTCGGCTTGTCCCAGTATATTATAGTTCGAGTTGGTCCAGAATGCCGTGGCGGAATGTGCAATCGAATGACTGCCCGTTTGACTCCAAATGAGAACGATAAATTGAAAACTATTTCAAAACCGGAAATGGTTATTAAATGTCAATAGGACACGCTGCAATTAATACCCTGTTTCCAGTAATATATGCCGTTACCTACTATTTATCACTTGAATACGTTGTTGTGGAAAATGACATTTGATAGGTGTACAAGCTCTCATGTTTAACATCCTTACCGGAGGGGACAGGAGGAACTCCTTCCTGCACGGGCTGCCATGAAGCGTCACTGTTGACAAGATGCGCCAATCAACGATGTGAAACAGTTGGTGTTTTAGGTGTATGAAACCATTATATGTCATACTTGAAATGAGTTCCTTGTATGTCTGAAACAAGCTGATAAATGTTGTCCATCGACGTAACAATAAGGCCAGCAGGTGTTGAACAAATCAATACCTTGTCGGATCAATAAATTAGAAATTAGAATCGACGAAATATCAAGCCAAATGTGCAGGTATTAAACTAGTTACTGCATTCAGAATACAGGACACGGCATAAACACTCTTAAAGAAACTGAACTGAACATTATTGTTACAAAATACAAACTTTGAAAACTTAGAATAGAAAAGGAAAGGTGGTGAAAATAGGACCGTGTTACGTGGACGATCTGACATCGTTCTACACATGGCTGTAATGTTCCCGAAGGAAAACTGAAAAGAGTTTGGAACATATCAGAACATCTATTTATTTACTTTTAGGCCACTATCCGTGGCATGTCAAGTCCAATGTACAATATTATTTAAAAATACCCATGTATTGTGATAGGACAGTTGGTTATATTTATACTACCCATCAAAAGTTTAGACTCACTTAAAGCACTTACTATATGTTATGTAAAAACGTATGGTTACATCGAAGATTGATTTCTCCACTAACTTGGGGGAACCAACTTCAAACCTTATGCAGATGAATTGTACGAGGATCATGCATCAAATTGGGGAAAAGCATGTGCAAATATTGTGCCTGTGAACAGATGCGTTTTGGTGTCAAGTTTTGTAAAGAATTTATCCATTTTCACTGGGTTTCATCATTTATTGAACTTATGACAACAATCTTTTCAATCTTACAAACTTGTTTTCAATACATCAGTTCATGTGTAAACAATACCTTTACACAGTATGGAATATTTGGCAAAATCAAGTTTAGAACAGTTGACTGAAGAAAGTGGCTACATTTACACTAGTGAGTCTAAACTTTTGATGGGAGTATACGTACATACCAACTCATAAACATTATAGACAGGAGAGTGCTTGTTTATCTAGAGGACTTGTGGCATAGCATGAGGAGAGAGCAGAGTTTACAGATTTGTTCTTTTAAGTAGAGGACCCTTGTTTTTTTCTGTATTCGCTAAAGCAATCGCAACACAAAAGTGCGTGGTGTTCATCATCAATGCAGTTACTCTGACAAAGGTTACAGGTTCGTTCCATTAAGGGTATGTTGTTCCATCTGCCTAGTTCAACTGGTAATCTGTGACATGATGTCCCAATTTAAATAAGTGGATACCACTGGCTTTTAGGGAGCTTACTAAATTATGGTACTAAAAGAGCTTAGAGACGACAAGGGGGGTCCAAGTTGCAGACATCGTCACTTTGCGGAATGACGTCTGTACCTAAGCCACGTATGTATGTACATTGCCGGACATTCTTATTAGTTACTGTGTTATAATCACGAGGCACCCTTTTGCATTAAAAGTTATTTTGTCCACGTCGAGATATGTTAGATTTAAACTCTACCCCATTGGTCAAGTTCTATTTGTACTGTCACATACTATTTGACTACATCAGAAGTCCCTGACAGAGGGTATTAAAACTTACGTAATAACTTGCGAAGTAATTCTTATTCGATTGTGGGCTGTACAAACTATGTGAGAACGAATTTAAGATATTGACAGGGTTTGATTAAAACCTGATTTGTTAGTCACAGTGCTGAAAACACCTGAACATGATTAGTTTCGTTTGTTTATGTGTATTGTTATATTTCAATAAAACATGTACATCATTTCAGTCCTTGATTCCTGATTCGTAATAATAATAATAAAAAATCATGAATGACTTATTCTCAAAATATATGTTAGGCAGATATTGTCCGAGATAGTGCTTAAAACACAATCGATTGTATAATTGCGCCTCTGTCCTGACCATGGGTTTATGACTCATTTGCTCCCTCCCTCCCTCATTCATTCATGCTCACTCATGCTCCCTCACTCACTCCCTCACTCCCTCCCTCCCTCCCTCCCTTCCTCCCTCACTAACTCACTAACTCACTCACTCACTCACTATGAAATAGTGTTGATACTATTCAGTAAGTGTTGCATTTATGCCAAACACAAATTAAACCTCCGTCATTTCAAAAACCCGCTCGAGAAATAGGACGGACATAATGTTTGAATTGTTTGTATTGACAATACCTTGATTTATGACTGCCAATTCCTTATACACATTCTTATTTATTCTTAAGTATGGCTTGGAAAAATAAGTAAGGAGATATTGGAATCACGTCTGTGTTGTTGCAGCAATAAGCATACGGGAGTTGGGAGAACTCAGGTAGTTGGGAGAAGTCAATATATCGATCTTTATACAGTCAAAGCCACGCGAAGGTAATTCGCCTCTTTTAATCAAAACAAACAACTCTGTACGCCCAGCGTCATATATTAACCATATTTATGAAGTAAAACCTGATTGTCACAAATGTTACAAGAATAGTTAAGACTCAGTTCTTTATTCACGGATTTGAACACACCACTTTTTGTAAGGTATTAAACTTCCCATAAAACGATATTGAACGGACTTTTATGGATAACAAATTCTTTATTTCGTGAGTGCAACGTTTCAATACAGATTCTTGGCAAGCAGGAATGATATATGAAGAGGAGGAGATGCATATACACTGAATGTAAGAAAGAAAACAACGTAATTGTCACAACTGGCTAGCTAGAGAGCTAATGGAGGCAGTGAGTAGACAAAGGAAAGGGTGTGGAAGCCAGAGATGTACAAGAGAAGGAGCAGTTACAATAGAGAAGATGTTTACATAATAGATTGGGCTTGGTGGAGGATCGGATGGAATGAAGTATCCTTCGAATCTGTATCGAAACGTCACACTCACGAAATAAGAAGTACTGTTGTTAACCATAAAGCTTGTTCAATATTGCAGTCCCAACTTCCAAAATGCCACTCAAACAAGTTATTCCCATAAAAAGTACAAGACAGCCCACGAACTATCCAATTCATCTTTAGGTGTCCAGTCCGTAACGTATTAAACTCCCCAAGAATTATCCAATTCATCTTTAGGTGTCCAGTCCGTAACGTATTAAACTCCCCAAGAATTATCCATGTCATCTTTAGGTGTCCAGTCCGTAACGTATTAAACTTCCCAAGAAGTTTCCAATTCATCTTTAGGTGTCCAGTCCGTAACGTATTAAACTCCCCAAGAATTATCCATGTCATCTTTAGGTGTCCAGTCCGTAACGTATTAAACTCCCCAAGAATTATCCAGTTCATCTTTAGGTGTCCAGTCCGTAACGTATTAAACTCCCCCAAGAATTTCCAATTCATCTTTAGGTGTCCAGTCCGTAACGTATTAAACTTCCGTATTAAACTCATCCCAAGAATTATCCACGTATTCATCAAGAAGTTTCCAGGTATCCATTCCCATACGTATTAAACTCCACACAAAGTATCCAGTTCATCTTATAAAGTATTTAACTTATCTAAAGTTACCTTCTTATATATATGCCAACTCAACATTCTTCCGCAGTACACGCACGCCGTAGTTCGCTGTGGAAGGTTGCTTCCACAGAAATCTATGATCGAGAGTTCGAATCCCTATTCGTCCATTTTATGTTTTAAGTTTGTCAGAGTCATAACTCGTGCACACAAGTAATGAACATTTAAGACCTACATCGCCATTCCTCTCGTATTTAGCTAACCTGTCTTAGCATAACATTATTTATTCACCAGATTTCAGGTGATTGTAAAGGGAAGCAAATTGACAGAGGTGATGTCTTTCCACACGCTCAGTTATGATTCTTGACAATCCGTCTAAGCGCTTGAAATTACGCAATCAACTTAACAGTATAAAGTCCCTTGAAGCATGGTAAGTCAGCGGCCCTTCCATAATTAGTTGTTGACATTGCATGTGCCCTGCTGTTAACAAGTATGTATGACACTTGTGTCAGTGAATGTGTGTCAAAGGCCAATCGATTGCTGTGTATGTTCTATTACGCCATAACACTCTTTCAACAAAAGCAATTTCGCTTTATGTCGATATCAAACAAACAGGCTTTATGGGAGGTCAAAAGACTTTCAGGTAGTCAGGTCTGGGGCCTCAGAAGTTCCTGCTGTTGTATTCAAAGCATTCTGAAATCAAATGACGCCTACTGTGACAAACGTCAGCCTCAAACACCGAGACAAGATATGGTTGGAGCGGCAGAATTGGGAAATATTCATATATCGATTTATACCTGTGTTATTAAATCACCGACGACCTAACTTGTCACACTGATTACCTGATATATAGCCTGTAACGCTCAGACCTACCTGTCACACTCAAACCTACATATCACACTCAAACCTACTTATCACACATTACACTCAAACCTACCTGCCATACTCAAGCCTACATGTCACACTCAAACCTACCTGTAACACTCAAAGCCATGTCTCACTCAAGCCAACATGTCACACTCAAACCTACCTGTCACACTCAAGTCTACAACACTCAAACCTACCTGTCTCACTCAAAGCTACCTGTCACACTCAAACCTACCTGTCACAGCAACCTCAAACCTACCTGTCACACTACAAGGCACAGTCACCTGCCTTTCTCAAACCTCCAAAGCAACCTCTGTCACACTCAAAGCAAACACACCAAGGCAACCAGTCAAACAAAGCAACCTGTCACACTCAAACCTGCCAATACTCTACAAGGCACAGTCAAACCTGCCTGTCACACTCAAACCTACCTGTCACACTCAA